TGTTATGGTTGATACATTGTGTCAACTTGGGGAGTCTAGAGGTTTGGCTAAGTAACTCAGCAGGAAGCCAGGGTGCTTACTTTGTGTACATCCTGAGCCTGTGGAAGAGGAGGGCATGGAGATTATGTGAGAGCTACACGCCCCTTAGGGGGGGTAGCCTGTTTACAAAGTAAGACAGAAAAAGAAGCTGCTTGCCTCCATTCCTCCAGTTTGCTCTGGCTGCTTTGCTGTTCGGCTGCCATTACCCCCTTTGCTCTTGTTGCTTTGCTATCTTCTGCCTCCGAGCCAGCCAAGTATGGACTGAAACCTCCACAAACTGTAAGCTAAATAAACCTCTCCTTCCTTCATTTTGGACGTTGGGTATTTTGTCTCAGCAACGAGAAAAAAGTAACCAAGACACCCCTCTTGTGTTGAGAAAACTGAGGGTTAGGTATCTGTCCCAAGGTCACAGGGCTAATGAATTACAGAGCTAGAGCTCACATTCACAAGGGGAGCCTGCCTTCTGTGCTGATGATATGTTATGGCGCCTGCTGTCTCACCTTCGGTCTGGGCCTTACCCCTTCCCTGCAGCCTCCACCCCTTTACCTGACAGCCTCCCCTCCCTGTCCGTCTCCCAGATATGCTTCTTTCCTGGAAAACACTTCTCTTGCTCAGCAGTGCCTTATGTCATGGGGCAGGTGCCCAGTAATGCCAGCCAAGTATGCTGGTACGTGGGAGTCATCCGGTAGCCTTTGCCCAGGTGTAGAAGGTCACTTACCTGAGTTGTCTGCAGCAAGCCACCGGACAAGACTGTAGACAGTCATGTGTTTTTAGAAAGCCCTGCCCATGGTACTTTTAAACTGGTGCCCCAACATTCTGAGAAACAACAAAGTGTAAATAAAGTCAGGAAGATTTTACAGTCTATTTCCTTATGTGTGCTGCTGGTACAGTTTTGTACTGCTTACTGTATCACATATCCCCTTACGTACATCAACATGCCTACAATTTTGTATTCCTCTTCCACCCAGCATCATGCTTTTGCATTTCATCTGTGCTGTTTTGTGCATTAGTAATTCAGCTCCTTTTTATTGCTGAGTGATAATACATTGTATAATACTTTACCACACCCCTGCTCTTGGATAGCTGTCTCCCCTCTGCAGCTATTACAAATAAAGCTGCTCTAAAGTCATACAAGTCTTTTTGGATGTATGTTTTCATTTGTCTTGGGAGTAGAATTGCTGGGTCATACTATATAGGGTCATATTTAGTTTTAAAAGAAACTGTCAGACCTTCCCTAATGGTGCTGTTCTGAGATCTATCATTATATACTACACAACACAGAGAGATTGTCTGAATCCTCATTCTGTCAAACCTCTTCCTATTCAGAGAGCACTGTTCTTTATAGTCTATTTCCTACTTTACTCATAACTGTTTTAAGCCTGTTTATTTTGTGATGCAACCGAATAGTTTGATTACCTGAAGTTGTTAGCTTTCACGGTACCTAGTATTGCTTTTTGTTGTTATGTGCTGGCTCTGGCTCACAGTGAGTTTTTCTTTTGTAGTTTATAACTTTGGACAGCCAGGTTCTGTTACATTTAGCTTTTTGGATGGGAATGCTGTCTAGCCTGACTTGAATGCATGTTTTTGGCTCTAGCTATATAACCTGAGGATGTCATTATCCTATGACCACTTTCTACACAAAAGTTCTTAGTTTGGAGGAACCGCAGCCCGAAGTGGATGGCTACTACCCTCTAAATTCAAAGCCCAGATCAATTTGAAGGCCAGTCCAAGGTCAGGAACTCACAGAGATTTGTTTTTATCCCTCATGCCTAGTCTGAGGTAGAGGAACTCCTTTATCAGAGGACTATGTTTTTCCTGGTCTCTTCTTCTACCAGCGAGTAGCATGGTGAGGAGGGCCGTGCCACTGGGAGTCTCAGCCTGTCTCTTGCCTGCCCTCACCTCAGCTCATACCCCTGGTAGGGCTTTAAACCCCAGATGTCTGGATGGTGAGGGTGGCCTGCAGGCCTCCCACACAGGCCACTGCTCCTTGTCCAGTGGATTGTTTACTGTTCCTGAAATACTTTTTCTATTGAGTTAACTATGCATTTGAGTAGATGTTCGAATTATGTCCTCGAAGATATATAGGTCTCTTGTAGCAGGAAAGTTTTTAAATTTTTCATGTGCACTGTACTGCCAGAAATAAAAAGTCTGTGGGAATAAAAATTGTGGTCTTCTATGATTCGTAGAAAACAACTCATCTTAGTGATTATGTCATCTATGCTCAGAAAGACAAAGGCACACCAAACATGTGGTTTTTTGGATCAAGATTTCTTTGTCCTAAGTTGTCCTCTGTTTTCTTACAGGGCACGGCACCAAAAAAACAATAAGCAAAAAAGAAAGTGGCGTGTTTTGGGGCATTCTGAGCATTCAGAGAACAAGCAAACATGTCCTTGGAGGACATTAAGATGAATTCCAGCGACCTCCTGTGGGAAGAAGATCTAGACAGCGGAGGCTTCGGGGCAGTGTCCTTGTGTTTCCACAAGACGCATAAACACGTGATCCTGAAAAAGGTGTACACGGGGCCCAAGCGCATGGAGTGAGTTGGGAGCAGAGGCGGGGGCAACACTCCCCCCTGGGCAATGTAAAGAAAGTGGGAGGAACAGTGAAAACAGGCCTACTCGCTTTACATTTTTGGCAAGGACAAACCTAAAAATGAAAAAAGGGCAGATTCAGTCCTTTTTGGAGCAGTTCTGAGAGTGCTCACGTTCCCTCTCTCTCTTCCTCTCCTGTCCTGTACTGTCCAGCACAGTGTTCTGTTGAGGCCGTGTTGCTGCTGCCCGTGTGCTTTGCATTTGTTATTTACAGTCTTGAGCTCCTGCTGCCAGGACTGGAACAGGGCCACAAAGGGGAAGCAGCCCCCTGCTCAGTAACACTGGTCTGTGCCCAGGGAGACCAGACAAGGCCCGAGTGGGACAGTGTGAGGCAGTGCTCCGGAGGCTCTTGGGCTCCACAGAGAAGGGCTGGTTGTATCACCTCAGCACGGGGCCTTTCTGCCCACAGGTACAACGAGTCCCTCCTGGAGGAGGGGAAGATGATGTACAGACTGAGTCACAACCGCGTGGTGAAGCTGCTGGGCGTCATCATTGAGGAAGGGAAATACTCCCTGGTGATGGAGTTCATGGAGAAGGGCAACCTCATGAATGTGCTCAAAGCCCAGGTAGCGGACACCGTCGGGGCTCTCTGTGCAGCTCTGGGTGCTGGCTGGCTGTTAGGTATTGCTGAGCTGCCCGTAGCTCACTGATATATAATAATCCCTTTGTGAGTTACTCTAGTTTGTTGGATTTCCTGAAGTTAGTCCTTGATTGTGTGTGTACACACTAATGAGAAGCAAACCTAGGGGTGCTCTGCCACTGAGCTGCATCCCCACCCTTCTCTCCCTTAGTTTTAAAAATTTTGACACTCTGTCTTGCTAAGTTGCCCAGGCTGGCTTTACACTTGTGATCCTTCTGCCTCAGTCTCCCAAGTAGCTGGGTTTACAGGCCTGTCCCACCATGGCTGGCTCTTAGATCTTCCCTGCCTTCCCCTGCTGAAGGGTTTTCTCTCCTTCATCCCTCTGACGGTCTCTGTGTCCTTGCTCAAAAGGTCCCCTGTGTGTCTGGGGGTGTGGCTGACCTGTTTCCATACCTGCCAGCCTCTTTGTGCCACCACACTTCAGGAGAGGGCCGCTCTTCAGAGGCATATGGTCTGACATGGGGTGTATGTGACAAAAGATAAATACGGGTTAATGATGACGTCATGTACACTAGCTTGACCATAACTGACAGCAATTCATAAAAGCATATGCACTATACAGAATGTAAAATAAGGTGGAATATTCATGACTGTACTTTGATGCATTTAGGAAACTTTTATTACAGGTTAAACACAGAACATAAGCTGCAGTAATAATGGATAAGATTTAAAAGAGAAAAACTAGTTTGCCAAAACCAAATAATTCTAAATTACTTTTTAAAGTTTATGCACCTGTTAAGATGTTGCACTAGTTGCTCAGGAATCCTAGCCAGAATGATGTTGTCAAGGAAAAGACACAGGTAAGAAGTGACCATATGCCATAGAAAATGGTTATCTGTATACTGGTTCATTCATTGAAGTCATTGAGGATACAATCTTAAATAGTAAGTGTTGGGAGGAGCTTAATTTTACAGGATCTTTATATGCCATGAAACCTGCATGGAATTTTTGGTTTTACACTGACAAAAAATCACGTCAATACCCTTTAGCCCTTAGAAAGGAATTTTTCCTGAAAGGGGGGCTTGTTGCACAGTGACAACATTGCTGCAGGGTGTGTGGTGGAAATGTGGTATCTCTGTCCTCAGGTTTGGATCCCATTACTATTTCATGGAGTTGTTGCCTGTTTGGTTATCTTCCTCTGCACAAATACGTTCTCATTTCAGATCAGTATCCCACTTTCTGTAAAAGGAAGGATAATTGCAGAGACTATTGAAGGAATGTGCTACTTACATGGAGAAGGTGTGATACATAAGGACCTGAAGCCTGAAAATATCCTTGTTGATAATGACTTTCACATTAAGGTAAATGTCACTTAGTCTCTAGGCTTCTAAAAGGTTAATTTTAGTTCTGACTGCACTGTAAATCCATTCACATAGGTATAGGTGGTACATGATAGAGGAAGACCTAGCTCAGTGTGTAACTCAAGGCGAGGCTGCCAAAGGACAGATCAGGCTTGATGGGGTTGGGAGATGACTGTAAGGATGCAGATGAAACCTTTTGCTGAGGAGCACATCTGAATGGGTTAGGCAAGCAAACCTGTCTTGCAATTTTGTTTTCCTCCTCTGTTAGGCTTTGAGGTAGAAGCATTCAAGGGTTGCTTTGTTTACCCTGCAATAGGGCCTCATCGGCCTCATCATCTTTCCAGGGAATCTGTGTGGCCACGACTCTGGAGATGCAGGGGAATGTGCAGGGGTGTGTGGGAGGTTCTTAGAACTCACATTTGGCCAGAGTCAGATCAGCAGTGAACTGACCACTTGGGCATCAAAAACCTGGGCTTTGAAAGTCAGCTGATTTGAAGTTTTTTATTTTCATCTGCTGCATTTTTTTAAAAAAAAAAAAAATCAATTTTCTTTTGAAAACTCCATTGTAGTAAAGGGAACAAGGGAAAGGGATCTTTCTTTTGTTCATTCCAGGGCAAGATTTAGCTGCGGGGAGCAGCACATTCATTGCTTTTGGCAACAGGAATCTAAGTATAGGAACCTGAGTCGGGGCTGGGAATGTAACCCGCCTGCAAGATTCTGCTTCTAACACTCTTGAGTCATGGCCAGGTTTTTATCCAATGTCTTTAAAGAAGTTTCTTTCTTTAAGTTAACAGCCTCTGTCATATCACTAAAGGTTAACATTTGTGAGTGTTCAGATAATCGCATGTCATAATGCACTTCCAAATTCTTGGATTTCTAGAAAGAGAAGTGAAAACCTGTCACCTCAGGTTCTTTCTTAACTGTATTCTTCTGTCATTTTGCCCTGCCACTTAGCCCTCTGCTCCATGTCTGACCTTGGTATTTGTCTGTGCTTTCCTGTTTTTTCTCCCTTCTGTCGTATCCCATCTTGTCTTAGGTCCAAGTTACCAACTCAAAAAAACAGCACCATAGCTCTTGTCTTCAGTGTGTCTTTGGGATCCTTGGAGACTCACACCCATGGGCCTCTGGACACCATCATGGGAACAGAAGGTGTAGTACCTGGCTTCTGTCTGCTATATAAATGTGCTAAGAAGATAAGGTGTCCCTCCAGCCCTAGAAATAGCTGAAACACATGTGCAGAGTAAATGAAGAGTCAGAATATAAACACAATTTGTTATTGGTGTTATGGCATAAATTTCTTCTGCTTTCCCCTCTCCTTTTTGTTGCATAAGAATGAAGATACCGAAATACCACATGAATATTTCTTAGGGGAGATCTTCCAGATGAGTGAAGAAAGACAGGTTTTTATGAGTCTGTTCCAGAGCTAATTTCAACGTTCCTAGTGGAACATTCCTGGTGGAACCTAGTGTTTCTGTACTTCAGTCACCTCTCAGAAAAGCCCCTAATTTTCAGCCACATCTGATTGGTTTGTAGCCGTCACTCAGTAATCCCAATGGTTTGATCTCTTGCAGATAGCTGACCTTGGCGTTGCTTCCTTTAAGACGTGGAGCAAACTGACTAAAGAGGAACACAACGAGCAGAGGAAGGCTGATAGTACCACTAAGAAAAATGGTGGCACCCTGTATTACATGGCCCCCGAGCACCTCAGCAACATCAATGTCAAGCCCACGGAGAAGTCAGACGTGTATAGCTTTGGCATAGTTCTTTGGGCGATATTTGCAAATAAAGAGCCATATGAGAGTAAGGCATTTGTAGAGGAGTGGGACTGTAATATTAATCAGAAGTATTACCTGAGATAATGACCTTCAGTGAGATCAGTTAAGATCTGTAATTGTTCTATCAATGGCAGTGTGGCCCACTAGACTGCAGGTTCCGAGGGCTGGTGCCACATCTGATTCATTCACTGCCATTTCCTTAGCATCTGCACAGGTTGCCTGGAACACAGTTGGTACTCAGTAAATTCTTCACCTTTGCTCTTCTTTGGATGTTCAGAAAATGACTTTTCCATCTTTTTACCAAGTTATGTGCCGGCAATCTTAGAGCCATCTCAGACTCAACCTGGCCCTTCACCTCTCACTCCAGTAAGACCTCAAAGCTTTAAATCTGTCTGCTTCTCTCTCCACCAGCATCTGCTTAGTTGAGACCCTCCTTATTTTGCTGCAGGTCCTCATGCATTCCACCATTCATGTGGCAGCCAAAATGGTCATCCTAAAAGGCAGATGGGGCCATTGCACTCATTTAAAATCCTTCCCAGACTCTCTGGCCTTTAGGATAAAGTTGAGACTCCTGAGTATGGGATATGAGGCTGGCTCTTTATATAAGACCTTTGCTTCTCTCTCTATTTTGTCAGCATGCCCAGTTATCCCAATCTAGTAAATTCTAGGATGCACCATGACTTCTGTCTTATCCAATCTACTAGTTACCTGCTTCCCTGGACTGGAGTCCTCCTCCTTGGGTCTTGCTTCCCTGTTCTTTACCTGGATAGCATTACTTTTCTGTATTCAGCAAAACTTACTGTACTCATAACTGTGTTACTCAAACCCCATATTTAAAAATACATTAAACTAAACTTAAAGGCAAGGGCTGTCCTGTATTTGCCTTAGTAGGGAGATCTGGGGTCACCACTGGCTTTACCCAGAGAAGCCGTTTATTCTACAAGAAAGCAGCTTCGTTTCAAATTTTGTCTTTCATCTGCACAAATTAAAATATTGGATCATCTCAGCAGTGGAATGTGTCAGCTCCCTGTGATGGGGCCATTCTGCTCTACGAATGAGGCAACTCTGCTAAAAGCTTACTTTAGGCAGAGATAATAAGCAGTATCATTCCAGTTTTGTTGTCTTCTGCCTGAGGGAAGAGCAGAAGCCAAAAGTCTCACCCAAAGCTTTCTTTGCTTTATAGATACCATCTGTGTGGAGCAGCTGATAGTATGCATAAAAAGGGGAGACAGGCCAGACATGGACGAGATCATTGAACACTGCCCCAAGGAGATCATCGACCTCATGCAGCTCTGCTGGAAGGAGGAGCCAGAACTTCGGCCAACATTTCCCGGTGAGAGTATTTTTTTTTTCCTGACTTTGTAGGATTCATTCATGTGGTGGTTGTCCTAAGTGAGATGATGTCAGGAATGAAGTTTGGGTCTTCAGAAAACTGTGGTATCAAACTGACTTTACAGGTTTCAAACATTTTGTTTGATAAAAAGATCCCTCTCAAAACCATAAAGAGATACAAGGCCTTCTTGTTTGTTTTTAGAGTTAACTTTTTTATGGTTAGAAATATGCATACACCGTAGCTCTTTTTAAGCATACACATCAGTAGCATTAAGTCCATTCCCACTGCTGTGTGTCCATCGCCAGGACTTTTTCACATTCCCAAACGGGAACTCTACCCATGAAGTACAAATTCCATGTTCTCCTTTTCAACCCTGGCAACCAGCATTCTACTTTGCATCTCTATGAATTTGACTACTCTGGTATCTCATATAAGTGGAATCATACAGTGTTTTTCCTTTGTGCATGGCTTATTTCACTAAGTGTAGTGTCTTCTAGGTTAATCCATGTTATACTATATGTCAGAATTTCCTTCCTTTTTATAGCTAATAATACTCCATTGTATGCATATACCACATTGCGTTTGTCCATTCCTCTGGTGATAGGCACTTGGGTTGCTCAACTGGCCTGCTTGTTTCCTTGTTTCTTTCATTTTTCTCTCTTCCCTTGTTTAGTTGGCATCTTTAGGAATGTATTTTGTGAGTTTAGATTGGTCCCACTATGAAGAGAAATAAGGGGACATGGATGTTTGACACATCCTTGCATCCCTTCCAATTCCCTACGTGACACAGGAGCTTGTGAAGTAGGGAAAGGAAAGAAGTAAATCAGTTGAGCAAGAAAGATATAATAGCAAGGTAGTAAGGAGCTATAAAGCATTTTGCTGTCATATTTTTATGGGAAGTAACGCTCTGCTGACTACTACCACCAGAGGCTTACTAAACAAAGGGGCACTTTGTTTAGTTGTCTGTTTTCCACACATGCTCCATCAGTCTTAATCTTTTCCTGGCTTCTCCTCTCATGTTCTGTGCCATTTCACTTTCAAAATTGAAGTTCTTCTTTTGGGATACTTGTACATTCACATGCAGGCATAAGAAACAATACAAAGAGATCCCATGTACCATTTACTCCTTCCCCCAATGGTAACATCTTCCATGGCTACTGAGGCACTGTTCACAATAGCTAAAATACAGAGTCAGCGTAGGTGCCCATCAGTGGATGAATGGATGAAAGAAACCATGGTACCATATATACACAATGGAATATTAGTCAGTCATAAGAATGAAATCCTGTCATTTCAGCATTATGGGTAGGATTAAAGGTCATGTTAACTGTGTGTCTTTTATTTCATTTTCTTGCATTATTGTACTGCCTAGACTTCTGTCACTAACTTTTTTTTTTTTATTTTTTATTTATTTTGTATTTTGTTTTTTGGTTTTTTTGGGTTTTTTCCCAGTACTGGGAATCGAACTCATGACCTTGCACTTGCCAGGCAGGCACTGTGCCACTGAGCTAAATCCCCAGCCCCTGTCACTAACTTTAATAGAACAGAGAACAGACATCCATATCTTGTTCCTAATCTTAGGATGAAATCATTCAGTCTTTCATTATTAGTTATGATATTAGCTATAGGTAACATCCTACTTGATGTAATTAACTTATGGATGATGGGACATCATCTATCAATGTGTAGAATTTTGAAAACTGGTCAAATTCTCCCACGAAACCATCTGGACCTGGAGATGAGGGGTGGTTAAGTTATGAGGTAAGTTTCCTCATAGTTGTAGGACTATTCAAGATGATCTGTCTCCTGTTGGGGTAGCTGTGCTAGTTTGTATTTTTTCAGCAAGTGCTCTATTCTATCTAAGTTTTTGTGTTTATATGTGCAAAGCTGCATTTAGTATCCCATATATTTTTTATGTTGGTAGGGTTCACTGTATAGTGGTATCTACTATTTCATTCCAGGTATTAGCCATTTATGTCCTTTTCAGTTTTGCTAGAGATTTATCAATTTTATTGATCATTTCAAATAACTAGTTTTTGTTTCACTTTTCTCTACCGTTTTTTCATTGATTTCTGCCCTTACCTCTGTTACTTCCTTCTGTTTGCTTTGTGTTTGTTTTGCTTTTCATTTTCTAGGTTCCTGTGGGAACTCAAAATTACTGATTTGAGACTTTTTCTGTTTTCTAATACGCACATTTATTGCCATAAATTTCCCTCTCAGCCCTGCTTTAGTTGGGTCCCACAATTTTTGACATGTGTATTTTTATATTCATTAACTTTAATGCATTTTTAAAATTTCCCTTCAAACTTTTTTGTTGACCCCTGTATTATTTAGAAATGTGCTGCTTAGTTTTCAAGACTTTGAAGATTTTTCTTCAATCTTCCTGTTACTGATCTGTTTTAAAATTTCAATGTGGGGGGCTGGGGATTTAGCTCAGCGGCAAAAAGCGCCTGCCTGGCAAGCGCAAGGTCGTGAGTTCGGTTCCCTGTACCGGAGAAAAACCAAAAAACAAAAACAAACAAAATTTCAATGTGGGTAGAGAACACATTCTGTGTCTCTGTCTTTCAAGTTTGTAGAGGCTTTTTGTGTATATGGCCCAGCTTATGGTCTGTCTTGGTATATGCTGTATTGGCAATTAAGGAGAACACTTGGGTTTCCTGCTCATGTTAGCACTGTTCTATAAATCTTGTTGAAATCCTATTGCTTGATGCTGTTTTTATATTCCTGTGTCTACTGATCTTCTGTTTAGTTGCTTCTTCAGTTGTTGAGAGGAGTGTTGAAGTCTCCACCTGTGATTGTGAATTTGTAGGATTCTGCTTTCAGTTCTATCTTTTACTTTTCAGATTTTGCTTCTCTTGTTTGGGTGTATACACCTTTCTGTGTATACACCTTCTGTTCTTTGGAGGAGCTCATCTTCACCTTCAATCTTTTTTTAAGATTGTCCGTCTTTTTTTAAGATTAAACCTTATTGTTTTGTAAATTTCTCCATCTCTGGTAATTTTCACTGTTCTAAGTCTACTTTTTTGAAAGTTAATATAGCCTCCCTGTGTTCCTTTGGTTTTTCTCCGGTACCGGGAACCGAACTCACGACCTTGCGCTTGCCAGGCAGGCGCTTTTGCAGCTGAGCTAAATCCCCAGCCCCTATTCCTTTGATTAAAGTAACTTTTTCCATCCTTTAACCCTCCTATATCATTATATGTGACGTGAGTTTCTTGTGATAGCATATAATTAATTGGGGCATGTATTTAAATCTCTTCCACCAAGCTCTTTTAATTGGTGTATTTAGACCATTGAAATTTAACGTGATTACTGGTATGCTAGGGTCCAAGTCTGCCATGTTTTTTTTCCATTGGTTCTTTCTGCTTTCATAGCTCCTGTTTTTGGTCTTTTTGTGTTAGTCAGCATTCTATTACTGTGACAAAATATCTGAGATAATTAACTTAAAAAGAAAACGTATCTTCTAGTGCACAGTTTCAGTGGTTTCAGTCTGTATCAGTCAGTGTTTTACTAGGGAAACAGATATCACACAACATATATAAATGTATAAGAAATTACAAGATTAGCTTACAATGGTCAGCCACAAAATTGAATGAGGAAGCATGCAGAGGGAGTCTGCACCCTGGTGGCTAAAAGTTTCAGTCCAAGGTCTGGAGTTCACTGCAGTGTCCCATGGCAGTCCATATCAGGAGGCCGATGGGTCTGTGATATAAGGCTGATGAGTCTATGCCAGAAGGCTAAAGGAGCTGAGGCAGAAGATGAAGAGTCTATGCTAGAATCCAGGAGATGACATCCAAACTGAAGGTGAAGATGAGCTCCTCCAAAGAACAGAAGCAAGTCCGTCCTTCATTTCCCCTTTACACCGTCCAGGTGACAAGGCAACTACATGTATTGTAGGTTGTAGAATTACTTAGCCAACTTAGTTGAACTTCTAAACTTCTCAGGTTGACACAATCAGTCAACCATTACACAGTCTATGGTTGGTCTGCCTCATTGCTTTTGAGCCTGTGGCAAGGCAGTGCATTATAGTAGGGAGCACAGGCATAGCAAAACCATTCATTTCAGGGCTGAGATGCACAGGGGAAGCAAAGAAGGCACACCCACAGTGACCTTTCTACCTTTCACCAGGCCTTATCTCCTCAGGGTTTCACACCAAACCTCCACGAGTAAGGGACCAGGCCTTCAACACACAGGCCTTTGGGGGAAATTCAAGATCCAAACGATAGCATTTGTCCTGCCTCCTATGGGTTTTTGAACATATTTTAGAATTTCACTTTGATTCATCTCTATTGTTTTTTAGTGTATCTCTGTGTATGGTTTTTTAAATGGATATCTCAAGGTACTACATTATCTGCCCATAATGTATCATAGTTTAATGGTATCATTTTTCCAGATTGAGTGACATATAGAAACCATATCTTTCTTTACTTCTCCTTTCTCCTGTAGATAGCCTTAAATATTTTTCTACGTTTATTTAAAACACATCAAGGGCCAGGGATGTAGCTCAGTGGTGTATGTGCCTGCCTCATGAGCAGAAGGTTCTGAGTTCAGTTCCCAGTACGAAAACCAAAAAACACATCAATGTTACGGTTCTGCTTCAGTTGTCATAGTTTTGAATACTCAAGAGGAGGAGAGCCTATTGTACTTACTTACAGTTTTAATTACTGTGTTGTGGTACCTTACACCAAATGTGTCACCAACTGAGTATCCTAAAATTCCATTCTGACACTAACTATTCTGAGCTTTCGTCAGACTCCACAAGTTAAAGGACTTCATCCCATACTACTAGCACCATATTAGATACCAGCTGCAAATAGGGTTCCCAGGCTACCCATACTTTTACTCAGCTGATTTACAAATTCAACTACTCTCATGACCTCCACTGCTCTGGCATGGGAGTGACAGTTACCACTTCTTAATGCCAGATGGAGTTACAAATCCAGGTTCCCAATCAGTCTCCACTGATACCCAAGGCAGGGTACTTTTCACTGCTAGTCAGGGATGCAAGTTTAGCAAAGTTCACATCGTCTCCACTCCACTGAGATGGAGGTGCCTTATTACTACTACGTAATGGTGAAAGTCCCAGCCTTCCACCAGCCTTCCTATGATTCTTCCTCAATTAGGAGCGAAGGGGTATCTTGTTACTGCCACATGGGATACATGTCCAGGTTGCCCCTGTGGCCCTCCTGACAGCACGGGAATTACCATGTGGTAGGAAGGAAAAGTCCTGGCTTCCTCTCTGGTGCAGGTGTCAGGATGCACTGTTGGTAGAATCTCCTGAGGCTGGAAGCCTAGGCTCTCCACCTGGTATGGGTAAGGGTGACGTCAGAGTTATGTCCTGTGGTGTTTGGCTGGAATACAGATTATCAAACAAAACGGTTTCTCTGGTGGTAGGAGGTCCCTTACTTAGTCCTGTGGACAGCAAGCCAGAACATGTTTAACATACAAAGAGAAAATCTAGGGACCTCACTTCTCTGTGTTTTCTTAGACTCTGAGGGCTTCCAGAGTGTCTGTATTTTTGTTTTATATATATTCAGTATTTCATCTTGTGTTTAGCAAGAATAAGGAAAAATACATCTACTCCCTCTTTCTGGAACTGGAAATTTCCTTTTTCTTTTAATGCTAACATCTCCAACTTTACAAACAACCTCCCCATTCTTTATCTTGAGTGTCTTACCCTAGCGTCAATGTGATGGAAACATGCAATTCATTCATCCTTGTTCATTTGGAGAGTAACTCACATCCCAGAGCAAGATCACACTGCCAGGCAGGAACACTTGGTTCTCAGTGCTGTTCTTACCCTTCTCTGTCCACTGATGTTTAGTTTTCATCAGAGTCAGTGATTTGGAGTTCAATTTTTTATTTTACTGCTTTGGCCAGAGGTTTAAGGTAAGTAGTAATTTTGAAGAAAATAGATTGCTAATATTTTAATCTTAGAAAATATTTAAGAAATTTAAAGGATTATTTTTCTCATATAGATATTGAAGAGAAATATAAGCCTTTTTATGTAAGTGAATTGGAAGAATTTGTAGAAAAAGATGTGAAGAGTTTAAAGGTAGGTAATATAGCAAATATTCAAAACGTTAACATATCAATATATATATTATCAATCATGAAAAAGCGATTTGTTAACTGAGATTTGAGGGAAAACTAGCTTAGTAAACACATAAAATTTGCAATTATGTGTAAATATCATCTTGGCAAATTGGACCTACTTCTCCATTAGAACTTATGAATGAGAGAAAATGTACAGAGCTACATGAAAACAAAAGCAGCACTGGGAAAGAATGGAAAGTATCATATGTACATTGATTTTTTGAAGGATTCTTTATTTTATTTTAAAAATGAAAAAAAACTGACAGAACAACAAGACAAAATCAAAACAACATAAAAACAACAAAAACGATACATGACCTCAAAAAAATGATAGAAATTTACAATTGTTGCTATGCTACATACTGTTACCTTCAACGAAGTTGCTCAGTCCAGTAGACATAAGAATGTAAGACTGATCAAACAAGCAAAGACAGTAACAAGTAAAAAAAACAAATAAATAAAAATAATTAAAAAAAAAAAATTGGAAATGATGCAGAGCTTCACCATACAAGATGGTAGGAGTTCAACAGTGGTTCTTCTACTGCATATTGTTTTCAGATCAGTCATTCTAATTACCAAATTCAAGCATGCAAAACTGGGCAAGAAAAAAGAAAATCTTAAGCATCGACTTCCTCTCAATACACCACACATAGCAGCAATACAGCTATTCTAGCTATCCTTATATATAAATTTTGTTTTTCATTTAAAAAAAAACCAACAGAACAAAAACAAATACATAAACAAAACAGAAAGAGCAATAAAAATGATACAAAATTTCAAAACATGGTGATAGGTTATTAACAATGGTTGTTATACTACATAATGTCATCTTCAAAATGGTTGCACATATAACCAGATACAGGCATGCAAGATTGATCAAACAATTACACAATAACAGTTCCTTTCAGTAAACCAACAGACACCAGCAGCACAATTATCCTAGCTGTCCTGTGTATATACATACATATTTTTTCCCTCTTCTTTGAAGGATTCTTTAAAACAGATACCAGAGATGTATAACAGGGAGGGAAAATACTAACTCAAAACCTCATTCTGAGAAAGAAATCCTGGAGGAACAGACAGACAATGATGGGAGTCACCTTGGAATCACCTTTGTGCTATCTAGAGAAGATGGCTCCTTCCCACCCTTCTCTGTCCTGAGTGACAGAAGGTAGGAGCCTAAGGCAGAAATAGTGGGTGACAGATTGAAGTCTGGGGGCCTGCTAACCAGTAAGAGGAGCAAAGCCTGCCCAGATGTACATGTAGCAGGCATCAAGCTACTGCCTTAACCTTTCAGCAACATAAACCCAAAACCATGAAAAACAAGACTTAAATAAGCCAGGCAGCCAACTAAGATTTCAAAATAAATAGATAAACGAATAAAAATAAACGAGTCAATAGTTAGCAGGCTTTTTTGAGGGGTACCTACATTAATAAAAGAGACAGACCTAGCCAGACGTGGTGGTGCATTCCTGTGTATAGTACTCTGAGAGGCTGAGGCAGCAATTTTACAATTTCAAACTCAGCCAGGACAACTTTGTAACTTAATGAACCCCTATCTCAAAAAATAAAAAAGGGCTAGGGATTTTTTTTTTTTTAAAAGACATTCAATGTAAATCAAGAAGCAGTTAATGAGATAACAGACAAGATAGTTCCTAAGGCAGAAAAGTATTACCTCACACAATCAGGAATATTTCCTAATGATAAAAGGTTTAATTCCTCAGATATATATATGGATATACCTTTAATCACATGGCCTTAAAATGTGCAGAACAAAAACAGAACTCAAAGAGAAATAGACAAATTGCCAATCATAGTTGGAGCTATCAATATAAGTATCTCTTTAACTGATAGAGCAAACAGATCCCCCAAAATTAGTAAGGATATAAGTTTAAAGAACATGTTTAACATACTTGAGCTAATGGAAACATGTAAAATACTGTACCAAATAAGTGTAAAATATGTATCTTCGAATGATTGTTAAAAACATAATAGAACATTTTCAAAAAGTGATACTGGGAAATAAAATATATTAACCAAATTTTTAAAATTCTAATATAAAGAATGTTGACTGTTTTAATTACACTGGAAATTAGTTTTTAAGAAGATAATTAGAAAATTCCATTAGGTTAGAAGTAAAGAAATATACATTTAAATACCCTTTGGTCAAAAAAGAAATAGTAGAAGTTAAAAAATATTTTTAATTAAAGGCTAACAGAAACATTACATATTAAAAGTTATAAAATGTACTTTGTAGTATACTTTCAAATGTATGTATTAAGAAAGAAGAAAGACTAAAATTAGCCAAGCATTTATATGAAGATAGCAAAATAAAGCCTAGGAAAAAATAGAAGAAGTAAATAACAAAAAGAGCATAAAAGAATGGCATAGCAAACAGCTAATAGAGAATCAAAACAGCCAAATATTGGTTCTAAAAAGCTAATGAAATTAACTAATTTAACTAAAAAAAGAGACATTTGAAATAATTAATAAAAAGGCACTACTACTAGTCCTGCAGACACCACATTTATTAAGAAGATACTGTGGAGTTTTTGATAGTTAAGTTTAAAATTTAGATAAACACATTTTCTAAGGCAAAAAGTTTAACAGCAAAACCTCAAATAGAGGTTAAAAAAAAAAACTAAATATTTTTACAACCATGAAAAGAGATCAAATCAGTGGTCAGAAATCTTTTCACAGAAAAAAAGTCTCACAACCACATGGTTTCATCAGGAAACTATGACTATTCAGGGAAGAAGTTATCTTAATCAGATATAGATTTGTCCAAATAGCAGAGAGCATCTGCCTAAACTCATTTTTTTCCAAACTCATGGTAACATAACCTTGATTCCCAATGAAAACCAAAGTACAAAAAAAAGAAATTAAGGCCCATCTTACTCAACAGAATAGATGTAAAAATCCTACATAAAATGTAAAGAAGTTGTATCTTTTCAATCAGAAAAATATTTGGATTAATTCTGAGAATACAAATTTATCAACTTTTGGAAAACGTTGTCATACCTCTCAATATCTTATTAAAGGAGGAAAAGTGTATCTTTTCAATAGATACAGAAAATCAATTGAAAGATGTATTTATTTGTAGTTAAAAATACTAGCAACCTAGAAAAAGGAGAAACTTCCTGATAATAAGATGTCTGGAAACAATCAAAACAAATAGTTTACTTATTAACAAAACGTTAACAGCTTTTCTTTGAGATAACATGCAAGACAAGTATGCTTACCAGCACTATTTCTGGCCAGCAAGGTCCTGGAGGTCCTAATTATTTCGGTAGAGCAAGAAAAAAAAGAGATAAGGTTAGGAAGCAAGAAACAAATTCATTATTTACATGTGACAGTATATGTATATAGAAATTCAAGAGTCCTTTTGAATCAATAGGGTTTATTTAGTTGTAAGACCAATATACAAAAAATCAAAAGTAGAAAATGAACTTTTAAAAAAGATTCCACTTACAGTAGCATACAAATCAAGTAATAACAAGTCTTACAAATATGTCAAACTCAAAGTATAAACTTTTATTGAGAGACATAAAATAAGACAACTGAAAAAACGCCACATTTACTTTGGGATTTGGAAGTCTCAGTATCATAAAGAGGTCATTTCTTTCCAAAATGATGTACAAAATGGAGTTTAATTAAGAATTAATACAGTCTCAACCAAAATCTCAAATTTGGATGCAGTGAGTGGTACAGGTGTAGAACATGATAGGTTCATAAAGGAAATGTAAAGAAGAAAGCAAGAATAACCAATATGTTCTTTTAGAAGAACAAGACTGGCAGTAGAAGAGATGTACTGGGAACTTCAGTCTCCCAAACCCTTGGACAAGTGAACAGTAAAGAATAAAATAGAGACAATGTAATATGGTTGGTGGGGTTTCAAGAAGGTCAGAACTCTCTTGGAGCTAACACAAAGACTTCTCCGGGCTGCTAGTATTTATTGGGTATCAAATTAGGGACAAGGAGAGAAGTACCTGGAATACCTGAGGTAACAGGCTCGAAATTGAGCAGGGCCTTGAGAACTTAGGACAAACACATTCCAAGCAGTAAATCTTGCTAATTGAGAAAACTGTCTTACCTCTAAGGTTGGCAGTTTATTGCCTTGAATTCTGAGTGAGAGTCAGTGCCCTGCAGCTGTAGCACTTACCTTGCATTCAAAGACTATGAATATGCCTCTCCCAATACAGCCAGACAGCATGTTGGTCAGCAACTTAACTCTTACACAGCCTGGTGCCCAACAGAGAAGGCACTCCCTTACCAGATTCTTGGAAGAATTATTGTGAAGCTCTATGATGAAAACAGATAGTACCATTTTAGGGTAGACAGAAGCCATTGGAATGGAGTTCAGAAACTCCAAAGAGATTCACCATATGTAGAAACTTGATTTTGACAGAGACAGCTGAGCAATGAAGAAATGATGGTCTTTTCCACAAATGGTGCTGATGCCATTGGGTATCCACATGGGACAAAAATGAAATTGGAAAAATGCCATGGGGTATCCACATGGGACAAAACTGAAATTTTATACCGTACCAAAAAAATCAACTCCTAGTTGATTTGTGAAATGTAAATGTGAAAGACGAGATCATAAAGCCCTTGAAAAATACTTTAGGAGAAATCTTAGGAGCATTTCTTCATGTCCTTGGGGTAGGAAATCTTCAACAGGATACAGAAATATGAAGTACAATGAAAAACACTGATAAGTCTGATTAAAGAACTTTTATTTGTCAAAAGAAACCATTAAACTAGTCACAGAGTGGGAGAAGAGGGTAATAACATACATTTAACTAATTAAGTACTTGATTACATACAATCTAAAAAAATCTTACATATTCCAAAAGTAAAAAAAGACAACCAACTGCTTTAAAACATGAGTGAATTATCTGAATGGGCACTTTACCAAAAAGAACATTGAAATAGTCAGCAAATACACCAAAAAGTGTACAACCTCTCCAATAATAACAGAAATGCAAAGTAAAGCCACAGAGGTGATGGTATCTCTAGATCGGCAAACATGCTGAAACTTTTCTAAGGGACATACAAGACATTTAAGATCTGAACAGTATTTATGGATGGAAAGGAGGATGTGATACAGTACACTGTAACTGTCTATTCTCCCTAGCATCAAAGGTACACAAAGGTTTGATTACTGTATCTTTGTAGTGTGTTTTAAAACCAAGAAATGTGACTTCTCCAGCTCTTCTTTTGCAAGCTCATTTTAACTATTTGGGAAAAAATGTTTATTTTTTTAACAGTGCTTACTACTTGTAAGATTTGTGTGAAGTTTCTATCTGAAAAGATCCTGACTGATTTTTTCTGCCGCTTACTAAAGTGTATATTTATGCTCTTCCTTATAGGAAGAGTATCCCATACAGAATGAAATTTTGAGGAGAGTGCCATCTGTCCAGCCAGACTGTGTACCAGAGCCTCCAAGCAGGTCAAATTCAGGTAACTTACTTTGTGGTTGAAATCTCTACTTATTTGATCATTATTCATTCTACTCTCTAAAATACTATTCAAGAGTCAGGCATGGTGGTACATACCTGTAGTCCTAGCACTTGGGAGACTGAGGCAGGAGGATCACACGTTTAAGGCTAGCCTATGCTGTGTTCCATGAAGCTTTGGATGTCTCTGGGAGTAAGGATGGCAAGAGGATGCAGGAATAAAGATGAGAGATAGAAAGCTGAGGTCAAGTGGAGCCCTCTCTGTGGCTGAAGGAAAGGAATTGGTCAACCACCATAGCACCGTTATTTCTACTCTGAGAAGGTTAACGTCAGTTTCAGCCTCTCTGCCTAGCAGAGCTTTATATGGCTCGCCTGAGCACCTCCATTTTGCAGGTGCAGAATGAACCCATTCTGCAGCATAAACTCCAGAAGGAAGCCAACTGTCATGTTTTTGGCAGCCACATGGACCGGCAGACAAAACAGCAGCCCATTCAGACTGTGGCTTATAACACAGAGGAGGAGAGGAGACGAAGGGTCTCTCATGACCCCTCCTATTCTCAGAGCTAGCACATCTTGTGTTGGTGCCTTGCCTTGCACCTTTGATCGATCTCTAGCTTTAGCCACTCCCTGCAAGCTTGGGCTACATGGTGAGTTTAAGGCCAACCTGAACTACATAGCAAGAGAGAGCCTGTCTCAAAAAACTAAAAAAGGAAACCTACTCAAAATCATATGGAAACAGAACAAACTATAGAAGTGAACACCTGTCTTAAAAGAACTTATAATATATTTAGAAGTCCAGTTACATATTTTTACAATATTAAATAATAATGTGCTCACCAAAATCCTAAGAGTGTCTTGAACTCAAGGGGCCTCATATGTCTCACTGGAAGAAAGCCCTGGTTCAGGAGACAGAAGGGGACATTTGTGGGGGCAAAGTCCTTGAAGTCAGAGTTGACCCAATCCAGAGCACAAGCAGAGAACTTGGTCTCCGATTCAAGCAGAGATACTTCTTTTCATTATGGAAAAGCAGAGTATAGGATACTGAAGCCACTTCTGTATGATGTGGAGCAAATTATTCAACTTCACCAAAACCTCGTTCACCAAATTATGAAAGTAATTGCTTCTACTCCCATACAGCTTCTAAGGAATGAAAGAATCAATGAGAAGTGCATAAGAAGGCTGCTGCTATTCTTCTACCCTAAATCATTCCAAGGAGACAGTCACTTTCCCTACTGAAGCCCAAGTCCCTTCTCCCTTAGTCCTCCGACATTCCCTGCCTGTTTTGATTTCCATCATATTCTTCCCATGCTAGCCAGGAGCTCCTACTGATTATCTACAAACTCGCAAGAACAACTACTAGGTGCTTTTTACTCTTCCTCATTTTCAGAATATTATTCTGAAGGATAAATTCATGATGGTGCTTGGGTTCTATTTAACTTTTTAATGTTTTATGAAACTCACATTGATCATTTCTTCTCTGCTGCAGAACAGCCTGGCTCACTGCACAGTTCCCAGGGACCTGAGATGGGACCTGTGGAGGAGTCCTGGTTTTCTGCCTCCCTGGAGCACCAGCAAGAAGAGTATGAACCCATTCTGCAGCGTAAACTCCAGAAGGAAGCCAACTATCATGTTTTTGGCAGCCGCATGGACCAGCAGACGAAACAGCAGCCCATTCAGACTGTAGCTTATAACATGGAGGAGGAGAGGAGACGAAGGGTCTCTCATGATCCCTTTGCACAGCCAAGACCTTATGAGAGCACTCAGAACACAAGGTTAAAAGGTCTTGCTTCTTGTAGTGCAGCTAGCCACAGTAATGCAGGACACCAGCCACCAGGGCTGACCAGCCAACCCCATGGACCATACTGGAACAGTGAATTCCATAATCTGCATGTACCTGGAACAAGACCACTGGATCCAGGAACGTCAGGTGCAGGAATTTGGTATGGGCCACATTCAAGCCAAATGTCCAATCTGTCTAAGACTCCAGTGCCTGAGACCAACCTAGCAGGAAACACACCCACCCTTCCGTTCTACTCCTTCATATCACCAGGTAAACAAATGTTTAAGTCACAGTCTCCTGGGGTTTTCGTCGTTGTTGTTGTTGTTCTGAAAACAAAGCAGCTATTAGCTCTGTTAGCGAGTTCTTGGCGGCAACAGAGAGCAGGCTGTTCAGTCTTCAGTTACCGGCTGCCACTTGTCATCTTAGGGTGGCCTCCACCAGACCACTTGGGCTGGGAGTATTTCAGTTTGGGCTTAGGGCTCTTCCCAGCTGCCCACAGGCGTTAGGTTACAAGTCCTTGTAACTGGCAGGTGTCTTCTACTCTAACCCAAATGGCAGAGTAGTCCCATGCATTATATCCTGTCTCCAATAAATGGGAAGATATTTGCTCTACTCTTTTAATCTTGTTTTCTAAAGGTTAGAACTAAGTCTTGGAAATCTTTCTTTCTTATGTAAACCAAACCTTTTGTGATTAGCAATTTTCTTTCAATTTCCATGTTGCTATCAGGTGGAATGAAAGCTAGTTGCTCATAATTACTGATACTCTAGAGTAGAAATGATTGAACTGAATATCCAGATTGTTACCAAATAACCCTTACCAGCACCATGTTAACTATGTGGATGTCATCTATGAACACTTCTTATGCTGTGTCCTGGGAATCCTGAAATTAGTATAGGTAGATGAAGCTTTGAAAACCATGGAGTTTTCCCGGCTGGGGGTAGCTCAGTGGCACAGTGCCTAACTTACGTGAGTCCCTCAATTGCATCCCCAACATAGCAAAACAAAACAAAACAAAACAAAAAAATTGAATTTTGTCACATTTTCTTTCAAAAGCACAAATTTCCAGAAACCTCCTAAGGAAATTCTGGACTTTTCTCATAAGGTTTGCTATAAAATCTTCTGTAAATGTTTGCTACAAAATACTATAAAAGGCATTAAGCAGCATCTACACTGCAGATAATCATGAGTACAATGTCCTTTGGTTTCCTTTGTGTCTACAATTAGAATGTTTCTTGAGTGCTGCCACATCATTTAATTCATTTATGATTAATTTAGTAAAAATTTCCAGTGCCGGGCATGGTGGTACACGCCTGTAATCTCAGCACTGCAGGAGGCTGAGACAGGAGGATTGTTGTGAGTTTGAGACTAGCCTGGGCTACAAAGTGAGTTCAAGACCAGCCTGAACAGCACAGGGAGACTCTGTCTCAAAAACACACACAAAAAAAATTTTTCCAAAGCACTTCCCACTTTGTGCCAGGCAGTTTTTAGGGACCAGAGAGATGAAGAGATAGCCCTCATGGAGCTTAAAATTGTGGTGGGTGGAAGGCAGATCACAAACCAGTATGGAATGTGTCATTTTTTGGTCTTGTCTCTATAAGAGTAACCCATGCTCCCTAGTTTGGTGCCAGGTGCCACTTTCCATTCTCGCCTCCCTCTGTTACCTGGTTCTGCAAATAACAGACATACAGGACTCCAACCTCTTCATGATTCTGAGATGTTCTCTGTGGTGAAAGGACCTCAGTCAATAATCGACAATGGGGTTATCTGTGCTTCTGCCCCTAAGGATAATCCTGCAAAGTAGAGTTAGTAAATGAATAATTTTGGTTTCTCATGGTAAATTTCACTGTTCTTGCTTTTGTTGTGATCATATATAGACCTAAGTCTGCACCAAATGGTCTTCTCATTACTCTGCAGCATACAAAGGATGAGTCTGTACTAGTACATGTAAAAGGGGAGAATACATGCCTGGCACAGTGGCACATGCCTGTTATCGTAGCTACTCAGAAGACTGAGGCAGAAGAACTGCAAGTTCTAGGCCAGCCTGGGCACTTTAACGGGAACCTGTCTCAAATAAAATGTTTTAAAAGTACTGGGGATGTATTCAGTGGGGCTCAATCTCTAGTACCACAGAAGAGGACAGAATAAATTTTCACTTTTGTGAAACAGCTCCTAGGACCTTTCGTTTTCTTCAGTGCACTTCTTTAAGTGACATTAGGAAAGGACAGCTCACTCACTGTCTATGTGACTTTGGGCAAGTCATTTTGCCTTTCCAGGATTCATTGTCAATTATAAATGAAAATGTTACGCTGGAAGGTTAACTTATTGCAAGCTCTTCTGTGTTTCTAGTACAGTATTTCATCGGTTTCTCCATTTCACAGTTTTCATGGGTTTTCCAGTGGTCAGATTTGGGCAGAAAGACAGCACACTGCACTGACTGAAAAACTCAGGCTTCCGGGTAGAGAGGTCCACAGTAAAATCCCACTACTAAGTCAAATGCTCTCTGATTTAATCTCTGTGTGAGTAGTTAACACAGACCATGAGTTAACAGGGTTGGCCAGGCTGGTGGTGCACGCCTGTAATCCCAGCACTCGGGAGGCTGAGGCAGGAGGATCATTGCAAGTTTGAGACCAGCCTGGGCTACAAAGTGAGCTCAAGGCCAGCCTGAACTGCATAACGAGATCCTGTCTCAAAAAGACAAAAAAAAAAAAAAGTTAACAGTGTCAGCTTAAACTAAGGACAGTGGGCTATGAGAATTAAACTGGATAAGGCAGTTCATTGCTGTGCCTAATAAGATGCAGAAAAAGTGCTTGACAATGGTAGTTTCTGTTATTATCCCCACTGTTACCATTGTTTATGATATCACAAAGGCAAACCCTTTAGAGCTGGCAGGCACCTCAGATTGTAACCAGGAACTCTACTTGGATTCCTAGGACCTCACTTTCAGCAGCTTTATGGAGCACCCAAAATTATAGAGATGCTATGTGTGTGCATCAAGGAACATCGCTTTACCTCAGGTCTTTGTTTAACGTAAATATCCTGTGCCAGTTCTTAACATTTTCTTGCTTAAAATGTTACCGTTCTACCCCATACCAAAATGACTACTGTTTAAAAAATGTTGGCAAGGAAGTGGAGAACATTACTATCCTAACCATTTTTGGTCGACAGTTCAGAGGCATTAAGAATATTCACAGTGTTTGCAACCATTATACCATCCATCTCCAGAATATTTTTACCCTCCTAAACTGAAAGTAACTCTGTCCCTATTGAAGAGTAATTCTCCACTGCCCACCCCCACAGCCCCTGGCAGCCACCATTTTACTTTCTGTCCCTGTGACTTTGACTATTGTAGGTACCTCATATAAGTGAAGCATATAGTATTTGTCCTTTTGGGACTCACCTATTTAGCAGATGTTCTCAGGGTTCATGAACATTATAGCATCTATCATAATTTCCTTTTTACGGCTAAGAATCTTTTATGTATATGCTACCATTCATATAGGCAACTTTCAGCTATCGTGAATAATGCTTCTGGGTGTAAAAATATTCCTCCATTCAATTCTTTTGGAGTATATAGCCAGCCAGAGAATTGCTGAATAGTACAGTATTTCCATTTTTAATTTTTTTTTTTTTAGACAGGGTCTCACTATGTAGCCCAGGCTGGCCTTGAACTCGCAGCAATCTTCTTGCCTCAGCCTCCAGAGTGTTGGGATTACAGGTGTGCACCACCGCACCCAGCTACTTTTAACTTTTTGAGGACTTGCCACACTGTTTTCCACTATGACTGTACCATTTCCTATTTCCACCAACACTGTACAAAGGTTGCATTTTCTCCACATTCTTACCAACATTTTTAATAGTAGCCATCCCAATAGATGCAAGGTAGTTACATTTTAGAAAAGAAAATGTCAAGAGGTGGCATAGGATAATTAGCTTAACTTAAATATGTGGAGTAAAACCCTGATCCTTTATCATGCTGGATTTCTTTCTCTTGTTTCTGATCTTGATATAATTAACTTGTGTTTCTCTCTATTCAGATGAACTTATAAAATCCCACATAAACATAAGCAACAGTAGTGGCATCCAGTTTGGAGCCTACAATTATATGGAAATTACTCCAGTGAATTCACAACTAGAAAACACACGCACAAACTTGGAAGAGGAGTCAGCTTCTAAGTACCAAGCTATCTTTGGTAAGATGTACTTTGACATGTTCACGATGGGGCCATAATTCATGTGTCTCGCTGCCGGGTGGCTGTGAACCACTGGTGATCCAAGCTGCCTAGTGGGAAAGTCAGGTCCAAGCTGCCTGATGGAACAACCATGCATATACCACCAGTGGTTCAAGCCAGCGGGAACATGTTAAGGACCCAATGTTGGGGACTAGGGATAGAGCTCAGTGGTAGAGGACATGCTTAGTGTGTGCAAGGCCTTGAGTTCAATCCCCAGCACCACAAAAAATAAGACCCAATGTGTATAGCAACCTCGAATTTTCTTATTTTTTGAATGGGATATAGTAGAATCTTAAAACTTCTCTGGTGATTCTCTCTGAATATACCATTTTTCCTCACTAATTTCAATGTAAATCTTCAGTAATTTGCTTTTAATATGGGGATAATTATAGTATCTAATTCATGGCTTTGCTGTGATAACTAAATTAGTAAGTGTAAAGAGCTTAGTACACTGCTTGTTATATAGGAAGACCTATGAGTGTATTGCACTTCCATCATCAGTGTTACTCTTAAGACCTGGAAGAAACAGCTCACTCAGGTTCCCATCAAAGGGAACTCTGTAAAAACTGCCCTCAACAGAATTTCTGGCTGTCTCGTGGTTCCACTGTGTAGCCCCATAGCATTAATTCTGAGACATAGCCTGGGAAAAGCATCAAGAGGTCAAAATAATGTGATTAAGAACCTAGCTTTATGACTAACCTTGAGGTTGGCTACTACCAGATAGCAAATATGTTAAGATCTACGCTGGAGGTCTCTTCAAACTCCAGCTCTGACACTGTAATATAAAAGTAGCTCTAGACTATATATACATGGACGAGCATAGCAGTGTTGTGGTAAAACTGAATTTATAAAAATTAGCAGGGGGCCAGATTTGGCGCCTAGGCTATAGTTTGCCAGCCCCTAGTCTAACTCATCTGAAGGATAGCCTTTAACATACCTAGAACAGAGGTTCTTAACTTTTTTTTTTTTTTTTTTTGGTTTTTCTCCGGTACCGGGAACCGAACTCACGACCTTGCGCTTGCCAGGCAGGCGCTTTGCCGCTGAGCTAAATCCCCAGCCCCAAGGTTCTTAACTTTTGAGGAACCAACAGTACCTTTGAAAACCTGATGAAAGCCAGGACTCCTCCCCTAAAGAAACTAACAAAATTCACAGATGTCTGAGGGGTTCTTGGACTGCTGACATCCAGTAGTGCTGGTAGAAACTAGTAGAAACCACACTGTGATAGTCTGAGGAAAGAACAGAAGTTGAGGGGGAAAATGAGATTTTGTTATATTTAGCTTATTGAGATAGGATGAGAATCAAGGAACATGGTTTGTATGTGGTGGCTGTTTTATATTTTTGTTTCCTTTATTATTTTTATGAAGGTCTAAGAGGATGGAACCAGTTGAGAAAGATTATGGCAATAGGGGGAGAGGGGACAGTAGTTTGGGGGAAGGGGAAAGTAAAGGCAGGGATGGATCAAAAAGTGGACCTCGAAGAGTATGGACACCTCACTCCTGAGAGATGCTGGAAAGGAGTCAGAGCTGAATGAATTTTACACCTGATGGTATTGGTGTCCTTAACAGGAAAGTGAACTGTTGAGCTGGGTGACATTGAGCCTTGCTAGAAATAGGTGGAAAATGTCCCAAGAAACAAGATTAGTAATTGTTTTGTCTGCTGGGAAAGCTTTACCATAAACTGGTCAACTGACCAGGGTTGAACAGAACACCTAACTTAGTAGCCATGTATGGGTTTTGTTTACAAAGCCATCAGCGGTGTCCCAGGATATATTTGCCATGACAACCGTGTGTCCTGTTCTAAGACGCATGATGATTCCATATGGACCAGGAGGCTTCAATTATTATCCAATTAATCAACAGCTCTTTGATGAAATTATCTTTTTTGCTGCTTCCTTGTATTCTTCACTTTGCTCAGGGTTTTCAGTAATCCAGGAAACTAGAACGTTCAAAGGCGTTAAGGCTTGATACCTTCTTCTCTTTTCCGTTTGGCAGCTAACACCACTAGTTTGACTGCTAATCAACTAACCCCAGTGGAGGAAAACCTGGGAAAGCACTGGAAACCCTGTGCCCGTAAACTGGGCTTCACAGAGTCTCAGATTGATGAGATTGACCACGACTACGAGCGAGACGGACTACATGAGAAGGTTGTCCAGATGCTCCAGAAGTGGAGGATGAGGGAAGGCAGTAAGAGGGCCACAGTGGGCAAGCTTGCCTGGGCCCTCTACCAGTGTTCCCGGAAGGACCTTGTGAACCACTTGATGGATATCAGCCAGAATTAACCCTGGAGGGGCTTTGGCAGCACGAAGCAAGGTCCTTGCTTTGGTGAAGAACCACTGGAAGCATTCAGAATTCTGTCCTCTTTTATGTGGGTTCTATCACTGCCAATAGACAATTGCCTGCATTTTAGTGCTAGGGCATAGGAGGAAAAAAATCTACAGCCAGCAGCCTGCTTTCAGGAAAATGCAAGGCAGAAGAGCGATCTATTTTTTAAAGGAAGAGAGGAGGTAGTTTAAAAAATCATTTTCCTTCAGCTCCTGGCATAACCTTCAGATATGCTGTTCATTCAGTTTCCTGGGGTTCTGGTCGAATGAGACAAAAAAAAAAGAATGTAAAACAACCCAACTTTCTTACTTTGTGTTCTCCACATAGACTTCTCTTTTTGGTGGGGGTTTACCAGGACTCAAACTCAGGAACTCACGCTTGCCAGGCAGGCACTGCGCCGCTGAGCTATATCCCTGGCCCTAGACTTCCATTACAACCAAAATGTAGTAAATTCTAAATTCTAGTCAAATGTTTTCTTGTAATGACAACTACAGCTTATTCCACATTACAGGACCTGTTAACTTCGTATCAAACATTCTAGCAGTCACTACAGGCTTTAATGATTATGTGCTGTTGCACTTTGTGATGTTAAATTATAGCTATTTTTATAAGCAGTTTAGGGAAGAAAAAATACACAGGGAAAAATCAGGTTTTCTTGGCAGTTGTTGTAAGGACCTGCAAGTAATCGTGACTACAATCAAAATTTCCTCATGAATTTTTTTTTAGTTCTTTTCTAGTACTAATACTTTGAATAACTAGTACTTATATTGCTAATAATTCTAATACTTTTGGCATTTCCAAGCCCATGTGTCCTGAAGAGGGAGCAGATGTTCAGGAAGCATTCATGTCTTTACCCCTCGGAAAGCCCAGATGCACAGAGCTGATCGTTGCTGAGCTGCTCCATCAGTTTACCCTATTGTGCTGTAGTAGAAATCTGTTCATTTTTCCCTTTGTGCCATGAAGTAAAAAATGACAGCTTCAGAGTCTGGTTACTGCCTCTAGCACTTAACCTTTCAAAGCCTATCTGAATCTCAGGGAGGAGCTAAAAGAATAGAAGCCTGAAGACCATGCAGACGGTCCCCACTGCACTTAGCTCTCCCAGAAGAGAGGGAGAGAGGGCACAGGGAAGGTCAGCCTGGCTCTCCAAAGGGATGCTGGTGTCTTGGGTTGATAACAGTACTGTTAGGTCTGCTTCTAAATCACCTACGACCTCAGCACACACATACAGGCAAATACACCACACCTGAAGTGGGGCCTCAAAACAGTCTCTCTACTTGGGCACTGCTGGCCTTGTAAGCCAAGTAACTCTGTTGTAGGTGCCGTCCTGTACCTTTTAGTATGTTTGTGAGCATTACTGGCCCCACCTACTGTACTGTATGTTGGTAGTACTAGTTTCCCCTCCTGCCCGTAGGTGTGACAAAAATGTCTCCAGACATTGCTGTATACAGTATTCCTTTGATATACAGAATTGTCCAGCTGATAGAAGCACTGCTGTCACCGAATGAGCCTCAGTTCTTCTGTTCCACATGTGTCTAAGCTCACATCTCAGTTGCCAAACAGCATTAAAGCATCAGCGAGAAAGGAAACTTAAAGTAGGGAAGGGACCAGCCTGTGTTGGAGAAGCCTGGTGATTTCTAAATACCTTCTATTATGATGGTGTTCTAAATGCTCTGGGTTTTTTTTTTTTTTAAATAGATATATTTTATGCCTTACACAGATTTTTTTAAAATAAAAGTATGCTTTACATATGGCTAGTGAAGTGATACGTGTGTTTGCAGAAATGAAAGAGTCTGGGATTCTTCTACTACGACCCTGTTGTACAAGTTGGTATTTCCTGCACACACTCCCCATTCATCCTGCTGGTGCCAAGAAGTTCCCAGACACCATGTTCTGGTCCTCAGGATGAGCAGCCTGCAGCATGCTGCTCTTCCCTTTCCTTCAGCCCCACCCTACATAATACCCTGAAAAGGGTCAAATTTGTCTCCAGAGAGTTTCATACAGTGCCCAAACGCCAACACGGTTCTTGAGCAGAAACAGTGTAAGTAGGATGACCCAGTCTAGAACATGAGAAAAGGACTATCCATCCTTGGTTCCAGAGCAGATTTTCCACTTGACCCTAGGGTCATAATCTTTGCGTATCATGTGAAGTTAGGTCTTGAAGGATAAGAAAAGGTTTTCCTCATAAAATGTTTTAATATTTTGATGTCATTTGAATGTTAAAAAGAAAAAAACATTTCTAATTGTAACACTCATGTAAACAGAAATAGTTTAAATGTTGAAGATTTTAGAAGCAGCTGATTACAAAGAAATCACTGAAGGACTAACACTACTACGGTAGCTCTATGATACCTAATAATCCAAGTACAATATTACAAAATTAAGCAGGTATAAATTCCATTATTCAGCACCATAGCCTAAGGCTTGCTTCTAACTTCTTGCTCCAGTTTCCTCACCTGCTGGGAGTGGTAGGACCTAAGGTTGACTGTGGATTACAATAAGGTGTATGGCACAAGAATGTCAGTTACTTTTTAAACTGCACAATAATATACATAACGGGCCACTCAAATATGCACCTAATAAACTGTGACACCAATAACCGAAAAAAAAACTAGTATTTTTGCATAGCCGTAGGGTAATGTGTTGAAATTGTACAGACTACTGTTTTTAACCCTCATTTCCTCTGATAAGAAATCTCTATAAATACTTCATGAAACAAAAAAAGGAAAGAAATGTGGACCACACCAAAGATTTATGAACATCAAGTGATGTTAAAGTCAACTGAAGACATGAGCAAGATGCTCCCCCAGTATGAGCAAGCAGGCCCTCTCTGCACAGGGAGACCCTTCGCCAGTGACAGCAAGTGGGCCCATGCGAGACACACCCCGCTCCAGCAAGGGTAAACCATCAATAGATGCTAATGCTCCATTTTGCTTCCCCTTAGCATGGGACAGCACAGATGAGGACAAACCAACTGATCCTGGACAAGGACAGAAGGGAGCAAGCAGGCCCCATGACTGTTGATGTTAAGTCCAAGAGTCCAGTTGAACGCGCATCCCATGATATACATCAGACAGAGACCAGAGGGCTGACTGAATTTCCCATCTACCCATGGGAGCAAGGACACCTTGGCTTGGATGATAACCAGTCTGGGTGGATGGTTAGAGAAGATTCTGGTACTGGGATGGCACTTTAAAAACCCACAGGCTCTAAAATAAGAGAAAATTATGTCTGGCTGGATCCCAAGACTGCAGATCTTGGGAAGAAACCACTCATTTGTACACATAATTTTTTAGTTGACTCAATCTTTTTTTTATTTTACTATATTTTATTATTTTCATTTTTTCTTTACTGGGTTTTTGGGGGACTTGGGGATTTTTCTTTCCTCCTTTTGGTTTTTTTTCTGTCCTTTCTCACTTTCAATTTTTTCTCTTCCTTTATTTCTCATATTTTGCTCTCTGTGTTACCTTTTTTTTTCCTTGTTTATTCTATCTTTTAACATTATTATTTCCTTTTTACTCCTCAGTAGGACCCCTAGCTCACTTTTTTTCCTACTTCTCATATGTCAATTCATTTCTCAAGTTTTGCTTTTTTCATCCTCCAGTTCCCAATGCCCTTTACCTTTACTAGTAAAACTACGCTTTATGAACCGCTAGATAGTTCACTTTACATTATTGCAATTGAGTACTGTTCTGCTGTTAGAAATAAGGTTGTTCCACATAGTAGATATTTACTGTAGGTCAATAGTAGGTCAATATTTAGTTTGTTTAGATGTGCATACTATAATTGTAGATCTCTTTTCCATGGTTAAGGGTGGTATATTATTGGTCCTCATAATTTGTCAATACTAAGTTTGCACTTGATGTTATAATTAGTGCTGATTTTATTACCATAGCCAAGGTGACACACCTGTTGCTATTATTTGGTTTCCTTGGGATGACAATATGTGGATTGCCTTGGGGTCATTAATGATACTGTGGCCCATTCCTAAAAACTGGATAATGGGCCAAATATGCTGTAACCTCCCACATCAAGTAAACAGAAGTAACTGGATTCTAAGACAGAGGTAAGGGTCAATACCATGAAAAGTAGACACTAATTAAAGAGGTCTCCATACTAGAAACAAGGCTTTCCACGATAATCCTGCCACAAGCCTCAACACAAAAACAAACAAAAAATAGAAATATGAGAAGATAACGCAACAAAATACCTCCAAAAACTCTAAACTCCCCAAAAGCTGATTCATGGGGCATCAAAGGGGAAGAAACCAAAATCCACACACCCAAATTATTTGAAATGCTATCAGAAGAAATAACAAAACAGAACAATAAAGCATTTGTCAAGCTCATAGAAGATAGAAGTAATAAGATATTGGGCAAATAAACAAAATGATCAGCAGTCCACAGAAGACATTAACAAAAAGCTAACAGAGCTAAACAACTGCCAACATTATGTTTAATGGGGACAAACTGAAAGTTTTCCCTCTAAACCAAGGAATAAGACAAGGCTATTCCTATCACCACTCCTACTGAATGTAATACTTAGAAATTAGCAACAGCAATTAAGAAAAAAAAAACCAGAAGGGCTATGTATAGGAAAGGAAGAAATCAATTAGCATTATTTGCAGATGACATGATCCTCTACATAGAAGACTCCCTAAAATGCCAAAATACTCTGAGAATTAATAAGCAAATTCAGTAATGTAGCAGGATACAGAATCGACACACAAAAATCAAGAGTTCTTCTATACTAATAATGAACCCACTGAGAAAGAAATTAGGAAAAAATACCATTAACAATAGCACCAAGAAAAATTAAATACTCAGAAATTAACATAACTAAGGATGTGAAAGACTTTTACAATGAAAAGTATAGCATGCTGAAAAAGAAAAAGACATCAGAAAATGGAAATATATCCCCTATTCTTGGATAGGCAGAAGTAATATAATCAAAATGGCCAAACTTCCAAAATTGATATGTAGATTTAACACAGTCCCAATCAAAATACCAACAGCATTTTTCACAAAACTGGAGAAAAACATTGCTAAAATTCATATGGAACCAGAAGAGATTCAAAGTAGCAACAACAATCCTGGGTAACAGGACCAAGGCAGGAGGCATCACAATCTCAGATTTAAAGTCATAGTACAAAGCTACAGGGCTAAAAAGGCATGGTACTGGAACAAAAGCAGACATGAAGATCAATGGAAAGGAACAGAGGATCTAGAAACAACCACAAGCATATTTGACTATTTGATTTTGTTGTTGTTGTTGTTTTGAGACAGGGTCTCACAATGTAGCTCAGGCTGCCCAGTCTAGCCTCCTATTCATGGTAATCCTCCTGCCTCAGCCTCCCAAGTACTGGAATTACAGGTGTGCACCACTATACCTGGTTTTGAATGTCTGATTTTTTATAAAAGGTCCAAAAATTTACACTGGAGTAAAGACAATATCTTTAATAAATAGTGTTGGGAAAACTGGCTATCCATATGCAGAAGATTGAATCTAGACCTGTATCTCTCACCATGTACGAAACTGAAATCAAAATGGATTAGAGAACTAAATGTTAAAACAGAAACACTATACTGCTGGAAGATAAATTAGTTAAAACCCTTGAAGCCATAGGAGTAAGCTTTCTGAATAACTGCACAAGAAATAGTACTGAGAATCAACAAATAGGATTGTATCAAATTAAAAAGCATCTGTACAGCAAAAGAAATGACCATCAAAGTGAAAAGAAAACGTACAGAACAGGAAAAAAAATTTTCCAGCTATTCTTCAGACAGAGGATTCATATCTAGAATATATGAAGAACTCAAAAAAACAGACCTTGCTAAAATAAAACACCAAATCAAAAAATGGGCAATTGAAATGATTTGACACTTCACAGAAGTACAAATGGCCAATAATACAGGAAATACATAAAGAAATGCTCAATGTTGGTAGCCATTTGAGAAATGCAAATCAGAACAACACTGAGATTCTATCTTACCCCAGAAAGAATAGCCGTCATCAAGAAATCAAATAACAAATACACTGGGAGAGGCTGTAGGGAAAAAGGAGCCCTTCTATATTGTCAGTACAAATGTAAGCTAGTACAACCATTATGGAAATCAGTATGGAGACTCCTCAAAAAACTAAAACTAGAAATACCATTTGACCCAGCTATTCCCCTTTTAGGTATCTTTCTGAAAGAGTTAAAGCCATCATATCACACTGACACATGCATATCCATATATATAGCAGCACAATTCATAATAGCTACATCTTGGAAGTGGTCTACAAGTCCATCAACAGATGAATGGGTAAAGAAAATGTGGTATTTACACACAATGCAGTACTATTCTGCCATAAAGAAAGATAAATTTGGGTCATTTGTAGGGAAATGGATGCACTTCAGACCATAATGTTAAGTGAAATAAATCAAACACACAAGCTTAAATATCATGTGCTTTCTCTTGTATAACAAACCCAAAGTATAAATATAGAGCAAAATGGGGATGGATAATGGGAGATGGGAAGATGGATCTTTCTCCAGTGGGAAGGGGATGAAGGAACCCTGGTAAAGGGAACTGGGATGTGTTGTGCCCCTGCACCAGCTCCACACAAGGTATGTGAGCATCGGGTACTGCGAACATGGACTCATGTTTTAGAAAGTCAACTCAAAACGTGCTTCTCTTTCTACGCAGGAGTTGGGATAGACTTTGAAAGTAGAATATTAACATTTTGCATTTTTTCTTTGGGCCAATCCTGCCTTTACTACTCAGAAAACTCCAATGGACTAGTAAGGACTCTCCAGGTAAACAACTTTCCATACTTTTAACATTGAAGAACATTGCACACAGGACATACCAGAAGGATCTCTTAGAGGAAAAGTAACAATGTGTAAGAAGCTATTGGCTTGAGTCATTTTAGCTACAAATCTGCCTTTTATTTCCAGTTAAGATAGAGCAGTATGACAATCTGATTTAAAAGGACAGATTTTTTTTTCTCTAGATATTTATAACCTTTAGAAAGCTTACATCATACAGTCTTGAAAATGATGGTAAAATACATGTAAATTACCATCTTAACTATTAACTATACAGTTCTGTGGCATTAACTACCTTCACACTGCGGGGCAGTCATCACCACCATCCATACACGGAATTCTTTTCACCTTACAAAACTGAAACTGTATGTATTAAAAACTAATTTTCTAAGCCGGACGTGGTGGTGCATGCCTGTAATCCCAGCATGCCCGAGGCTGAGCCAGGAGGATCATTGCAAGTTCAAGACCAGCCTGGGCTACAAAGTGAGTCAAGGCCAGCCTGAACTGCATAGCGAGACCTTGTCTCAAAAAGGCAAAAAACAAACAAACAAACAAAAACTAATTTTCTAATTTGCTCACAGGCAGCTCCTGGAAACCTACATTCTACTTTCGGTCTCTGAATTTGATGACTGTAGTAGGAACCCCACATACACCTGTCTTATGTCAGTTGACACAATTTTCCAGGGTTCACCCATGTAGCATGTGTCAGAATTTTCTTGCTTTTGGAGGCTGAACAATATTCCCATGTGTGCACCACAATTTATAATTTATCCATTGATGGCCATAGGGTTCCTCCACATTTTGGCTCTTGAATAATGCTGCTATGCACACTGGCAGGTACATATCTGGAGGCCCTGCTTTCAGTTCTTTTGGATACACTGCATACTCAAAAGCAGAATTGCTGGGTCATACGTAATTTGTTTTCAGCTTTTTTAGAGAAACAAGGTCATTAATAGCAGCTGCGCCATTTTTACATTCCCAACAGTGTGCAAAATTCCAGTTTCTCCACATCCTGGCTGAGAATACTCTCTGAGGGTCTTGATAGGTACCAGCCTAATGGGTAGACACGATAAAAAGGGAAAACTACTAACTTCATCATCCCTGAATGCAGATGTACTTTATCCCACCAGGGGCGGCGGGGGCGGCTCACTTACCGCCTGGACACCCACCAGGTGAGGGTGGGAAGCTCCGAGGCCTCGCCTCTCGAGGGCTTTGGTCACCATGGCAACGGGCAGGACAAGGTGGCCCCCGCTGGGACATCCATCCTGGGAACCAGTGCTGACACCAGAAAACCTGGGCTTCAGCACGCAAGCGCCTGTGAGGGGCGAGGCCAAGGGGCGTGACAAGACCTCGCGGCTTGGCCTGGCGTACGGTACAGGTGGAAGGGGCGGGGCGAGGCGTGGAGGCGGGACTTCCTGAGGGGCAGGCCCGGCCGAGGCGCGGTATGGAGGCGGGGCTTCCGGAGGGGCGGGGCTTCGGGAGAGGCATGGAGAGCAGGGGTGGTCCACGCGTGCGCATTCTCGGCTACTGCGCGACCGGGTACCATGGCGGCTGCGGTAGGCTGCCGAGGAGCGCTTCGGCTGCGGCTGCTCTCCTCGCTCCTGAAGCCCAATATGCACGTTCCCCGGGCCGTGCCAGCGGCCGCGTTCGGGTAATTGCACGCTCCGCGTCGGAAGTCCCAGCGTCGTCTCGGTGGGCGTTGGAGGGGCACGCTGGCCCTTGCGGGCGGGCGGGCGGCGAGAGAGCGGCGGGGGACGCGGCCGGGCCCGCCGGAACCCTGGACCGCAGCCAGCCCGAGCCGCGTGCAGACCGAGAGACCCGGGAGGTAAATTCGGTATTGATCCCAAATCCGGGTTCTTAGCCTGTTGCTTTGTCCATTCTTGAAGAAGACAATTATCTCTCACGTCCCTGACATCGGAAATGCGCCCGAGTGTCTGTGACGTGGGCCGCGCCTAAGTCACGGGTCCCAAGTCTCCTGAGGCTAATTTTTGTTTGCTGATCTCAAACTTTAATGTGCAGGAGAATCACCTTGGGAAACTGAAAACTCAAGATTCCAGACCTCAGTACCAGTTTCTGACTTAGGTGTGTGGAGATGCTCAAAATCTGCATTTTTCTTTTCCTCTCCCTACCCCTTTCACATTAAAAAAAAAAAAAAAAAAAAAAGCAAAAACCTAATTAATCTCTGACCTAGTGTCTTGAAAATGGGTCCTAAGAGATTATGGGCCGAAATTGGGAACAGAGCAGCCTGAAGCTTGCTTCCACCAACACAAATGCACAGACACAAAGGTACGCAATGCATGTATGCAATTAACTGTAGATGGACCAGTTTCTTTAGTGATGGGGGGGGTGCTAGAGAGGCACCCACTACTTGGAACTTCATTTGATCTAATGTAGAAACTACTGGTTTGGAACTTAATTTGGAAGAAGAAAGGGCAAATCTGACCAGATTTACATTTTCATAATGTAATTGACTAGTTACTGAGTTTTATATTTGGTTTAGGTTTCTTTTATTATTTTAGAGTTATTAGATTTTTCAATACAGATGGAAAAACATGTTAGTGGCTGCATTTTTGTAAATCATCAGTGAAACCTAGGCCGTTTATTTCTTTTTTGCAGAAAGGGACTAAGATGCGTTATTGTGATTGTATAACACCATAGTTGTGATAGGTTAATAGCTGCTGGAAGGCCATATTCTTCCTGAAAAACAGGTTCCTCTGGATTTTGTACTGCCATTTTATAAATTTGATTGCAAACTGGTGTGACATGTAATCTGAGAAAATAAGCAGTAGCGTTAGCTCATTCTAAAACAAGAGTGCAGCTCCATGTAAGAGGGTAAAAGGATACCTGTAAAATGTTTCAGCCAGGCCTGATAATTCACACCTGTCATCCCAGCAGTGGAGAGGTTGAGGTAGGAAGATGGCCACCAATTTGAGGCCAGCCTGGGCTACATAGTGAGTTTGAGGTCATCTGGAACTACATAGCAAGATCCTGTCTCAAAACAAAACCAAACAAAGTTTTGGAACAGCCAGCATCTAAGCTACAACTGAGTCGTGTGCTAAAAACTTGTTTGTAAGCCTGTTATTTGGAACTTTGACCCTTTTCCTGTTTCATAATCTCCAACAGGATTTATACCTAGGTTAGATCAGAAAATCTTTGCTACCCAAAGTAATATGTCATGTACAGTTACAATATTAATAATTTACAGAGCCTACTAATCTGCCAAAGAAAAGTATTTTCCAAGTTCGGCCTTGGGGCCCTCTGTGGAAGTATCAGACCCCACTCTTCCCTGATGCCTGTCTGTACCCCTATCCACAGCCATACTGATTTGGTGCTGAGTGCTAAGCCCTGGTAAGCACGCTGCCACTGTGAAATTAGAGAAAATGCTTGGCCTCTGGAGTCCGAATAACTTTCTACCCCTTTAGCTGTGTGAATGGGGACAAGTTACCTTCTCTGAGCCTCCTTTCTTGTAGTTTGTGAGGATTTGAAACAGGGTAAAAGGCCTGCTACATACATACTTAGTAGGTATAATTGTTAATGATATAAACAATAAGAATACAATATATAAGAGGGGTAAAAATGTCATCACAGTTCACTTGAATTCAAGCCATCAGGTTTCTAATACTTTATTGTAGCTAATACTTTATAGCAAATAGCTAAATGTAAATGACGAGATTTTGAATGATAGAGGTCTTAACGAAGTTACCCCATTTTTATCTCAAATCACAGTGTTGAGACTAAGGCTCTGGGATCAGACCGTCAGGTGATCATCTTGGCTTGGCAGATCACTAGCCGTGTGACTAGGACAAATTACCTGTCCTCAGATTCCTCTGTGATAAAATTAGGTTAAGTGTACTATGTACCACCAGGTGAAAAGAGTAATGTAAATAAAGCTTAGCAGCCAGAGCCCTGGCACAAAATAACAAAGGCGGCACTTGGTTTGATTATTGTCTCCAAGGTGTATTATCTTTGTCCCCACGCCCAGCAACCTGTCCCTCTTTGAGGGAAGCAGCTCAACCCCCTCAGTATGGTTGCAGTGTTCCCTACGGCCCTCCTTTGCACCAGATTGCCAGTCTGTCCTCGCAGAGAGGGAGTCACGGACCAGTATGGGGTAGGAAAGCATGCTTTGAGGGGGAGACAGGACTTTGTTTTCTTCCGATAAAGTAGTGGTCATTCTCAACCTCGGTTGCCTGTTGGATTTTCTAGGGAAATTAAAAAATTTTCTAGGGAAATTAAAAAATGTCCTGGTTTCTGCCCCAGAGGTTTTGACTAAGTGTAGTTTGGGCATCAGATTCAGATGTGATTCAAGCACCAGGACATTTTAGACTCACTCAAGCCTGGTCTTGGCCTGACTTTATTGCTCTGAAAGGCCTCTTCATAAGCTGTAGCAGAAGTGCTGTCTCTCTTCCTTTCATTTACCTTACATTTCTGTGAAAATAAATCAGCATTTAAAAGCTATCTTTCAAAATAAACCTTTGTTTATAAATAGTCCTCTGGCTTTCTCTCCCACTTGGAGAGTCATGGAGGGTTTCTGGCAGCCTCTGTTCCCCGGCGGATGTGCGGGTGCCGCTGGTGCGACAGTACGCGGGAAGGAGGTTGACGACAAAGCACTGTCTTGCCCCTGAGCTTCACTGCAAAACCCTGCATGCACTATTTGGCCCCAACCGCCGTTCCTGTCTTCACACTGCCTGGGGCTGAACACTGGCTTCTCCCCATGGCGTCCCTTGCTCTTGGGCCTTGGATCGCGCTATTTCGTCTTCCAGAAATGCCCTCCCCACCACATCCCTTTTTCAGAATTTTAGCCAATTTTGGAAGTTCATCTCAAAAGCCGCTTTTGCTGCCTTCTGAGATACCTCTGCCCAACCCTGGTCTCTCTCTCTCTCTCTCTCTCTCTCTCTCTCTCTCTCTCTCTCTCTCTCGTGTCTTGTGTCTCTTTCTCTCTCTCTCTCCTCTAAAGCACCCTCCAAGTCTTTTGAAAATCCTTCCGGCACTGGACTGCTTAGTTTTGTGTCTACATTCCTTGTAGGCAAGCGCAAGGTCGTGAGTTCAATTCCCGGTACCGGAAAAAAAAAACAAAACAAAACAAAAAAAAAGAGAATATGGGAAGGATTTGACTAGAGAAAGAAAATGTGGAATGGGAAATCACAGCACAGATACAGCCGAGTGCGCGGAGAAGTCAGGTTTTTGCAGAAGAGACGTGGCAGTGAGCACAGAAGCCAACGGAAAGGACCCCGCAGGAGCCGGTGCTGTGGAGAGATGGGAGTGAGATGTGAGAAAGCGGAGCTGCAACACCCAGTCCTGGGAAAGGTGGGGGAGGGGCACCATTCTCTAGCTCCTCACCCAGCAACGTGACTTTTACAAGCCTATTTACAACATTGCCGTGTCTTTCGGGCTCGAAGAATAATAAAAGCCAACCAGGCATTGTGTACCTTAGGGCTAATGTGAGCTCTGTAAATCTAGTCATCTCTTCCCAGAGAGTGACCTCACTTAATTCAGTAAATGTAGGAAATGCCGGGAAGGGCTTTTACCCCATCCAGCTGTCTCAAGTCTTTTCCTCAGCACTTAGCCCTCCCCAGTTTTCAGAGCAATCCTATGTGGCGTTACAGCCTCTCCCCCAGGTCTTGAACAGAGCAGATACACCTGCCGGCTGGGGTCCGCAACCCCGTAGTCGCAGCATTCAGGAGGCTGGGGCAGGAAGATTCCCCTGGGTAGGCCAGCCTGTACTACACAGTGAGACCCTGTGTCAAAAAAATAAATAAAAAAGCAAAGCAGAAATACCAATAAACAAGCACTTGTCGAATAAATATTTTTAGAGTCCATTTATTTGCTTCTGTCTTGGTCCTAAGATATTTACAGCTGTCCTAACAATAAAAATTAATTCTCCGTTAATAATAAGGTGACAGAGTTGATTGTCTTTGTTACTGCTCCTCTAATAGTACTTCTGTGGATAATGAACTTACGTTGTGTCAGACATTCCCAATTTTGTCTTACAAATTTCCAAAAATTAAACTTCCCGATTTTATGTGTTAAAATTCAGTGAACCAGTGTTCAGCCCATTTTTCTGCATTCTTTATTTAAAGTTCGCCAATCAGATAAAACCAAAAGAGGAAGTGGCTTTGTTTTTTTTCAAATGTGCTGCATTTCAGTAATCATTTTGACCCAGGGTGGAGGTAAGGGTGGGAAGAATGTGAAATGAAAAGGACGTTAGTGGTGGATGTAAACTTCCTGACAATCCGCAGTAGAAGAGGAGTGGTTCCCTCTAGCGTCTGTCCGGGCCTGCTGCCTTGTCCCTTGCGCAGGTCACTGGGTCACCTGCCTGGCAGTTAGTTGGTGGGGACGTGCTGTATTGGTGTGAATCCCTGGACAGTCTTTTCTGGAGTTTCCGGAAACAGCTGAGGAGAGGTTAATGGGAACCCTGGGAGGCACACACTCTTGGCAGGACGGACACTGGCAGCAGCTCTGTCCTGTGCCACACGGTCCAGATAGGTGTTGGGTCATCGGAGGGCCCTTGAGAGCGGGTTTGTGAACATGGTTACTTTACGGTCACCACAGGAATATGCACTGCGTCGTAACCAGCAAGGCCATGGCAGGGCCGTAGACGGCCCCTGACCTGTTAGAGCCCTCCCGCAGCCAACGCAAGAAGCTGCACCTAAGACAGTCTCAGATCACAGCTTCCCTGGGGACCCCTGGGGCCTATCTCATCCTCAGCAATGCCTCCAAGGCTGCGGATGGCCCAGGTGGCTGCTCTAGACCTGCTGAGGTACAGCCAGACCCAGGCTCAGGTCCTCCAGTCCCCAGGCTGTGTTCTGGGCCTGTGTTTCTGGCCACTGCCCAGAAAAGCTTGGTGCTTTGCTAAGGTGAACCCCAGACTGGGTGCTGCAACAGATTCAAACCTAAAGACACAATTCAGATCGGCAGTCTGCTAAGACACCGAGGTATCATTGTTTAGGGTTGGAAATAGGCACTTAGCAAAATCACTCACAAAGCCCGAGGGGTACCGGAGCTAACTGGTGCATGTGATGGCAGTATTGTCATGTTAAATGGGTAAACTTGGCATGCTCGGTAAATAATTTAGCTTTAGGAATTTTCTCTTTTCCTTCCAGCACCTCAGTAAGCTCTGGCAAAGTGGCTGTGAATGGCGTTCACCTGCATTACCAGCGAACCGGAGAGGGCGAGCACCCGGTCCTGCTGCTCCCTGGGATGCTGGGTCTGGACATCTTTAATGGATGCGCTTTTGCATGCTCTCTAACCTCTATAACTCGGGCACGATGGTAGATGCTGAGTATTGATTATTAATTTGGTGGAATGTTTCCAGGGATATTTGCTGCAGTCAAACTTGAGCAACTTAGAAACAGAATAGCTTTACGTTGTGTGTCTTTTTCGATGAAGTACCCAGTTTTCTCGTGGGAGTGCACTGTAAAACCACGATTGCCTGCAGCTTGGGAAGGTGACAGGGGTCAGGGGAAGGGGAAGGAGAGTGTTTGAAGGAAGTAGGTATGCAGCTTTCCCAGTTTGCCTGGAGTGAAGGGATTTTTCTAAGATGTGAGACTTGCAGTGCTAAAACCAGGGTGGGTTGTTCACTGCTGCGGTTGATATTTCCAGTTAAAATAAGAGACAAGGAGACAAACTTAAAAGTCTTTGAGGGACAAAATGAGGCTAACATATTGCCCTTGTTCGAGTGTGGGATATAGTAAAGCCCACTGCTCGCAGCCTCATTTTACAGAACAGCAGTCCAGATATAGGAAGTTCAGGGGAAAATCTAGTGATCCCAGGCCATCCAAAATTTAGCTTCAAAGGGTATAGGATTGTTGCTTTATTTTGTATTTAGTTAAATAATCTCAGCATATACTCATTGCCTTGTGATTTGCTTCTTTCTCTTACTAGTAAAGTGCTAGAAGTTTTCAGTCACTTGATGGTTTTACTTGGTTTTACCTTTTTCCCCTTAAGTTACTGTAATGAAGGAGAACGTGTATACCAGTAGCTGATGTCAAGCCAAGATTATCTATAAAAACAATTCACCAGGCTAGATTTCCATTCTTGTAGTATTGCAGTCATTGACGAGGTCTAAAAACTGTTACCTGTGTAATTTTTGTGTATGTAAAACAAAAATGTTTGGTTTCAAATCAACAAAGCAAAACATGACAGCTTCTCCTCCTGTCTTGTCCTCTTATACCCAGTCCCATCTCCATGGGCTACTCAGGTACCATGTGCTGGTAACTCCATGTACTCCTTAAGCCCAGGGTAAGCTTTCTGTATTCCTGGCACTGGTCTTCTTGTGGGCCAGAGAGCAGATGTGTCACCTCTTTTCTGCAATTGGTCTTTTAGCCTGCTCTCCTTCCCCTTCTCCCGCCTCCTGCCCCTCCTTCAGGGTCCTTCCCCAAGGAGTCCCTCCAGTGCAGGGACACAAAGGAAGCCCATGTGCTAGCAGTAGACACAGGCTGGAAGTCCACTGATTTCTTTTGGGCTTGGATTGCCTGCATGACTTACCTGATCTTGAGAAAGGAACGTGGTGGCAGGGAGAATGATGGAGCTTGATAATGTTAAGTGATTCTCCATCGTCTAGAAAGATATTTTTTATTATAGCTACTCATTGTGATGAAAAAATCATAAATATGTAAACTTTAAAAATATGATATAAAAGATACATTGCCGTGAATCCCCCTCAGAATATTCTCCCTTTGCTTTGAGCACTTACCCCATCATTCTTGCCGCTTTCTGAAGCAGTTCTGGGCATCCTCTTTTGTGAATGTCTTTAGTTGTGCTGTGATAGCTCCCTTGGTATGCTGAATTGATTTCAAGTATTTATTCTTATGCTCATTTGGACTTTGGAAAAGAGGTGCACAGTGCCAGATCCTGTGAGTAAGGTGGAGGAAGACACACTCACGTTTTTACAAGTCTGCCTTTCCCTTGGACAGCACTTGGCAGCAACATTCATAGTGTTTTTGAACACACCTCATGAAAACACTCATGAGAGGGGACTGCTTCAGAAAGTGGCAAGAACAGTGGGATAAATGTGTTGGAAGCAGCAAGGGAAAATGTTTTGTGGGGGGTTTTTGGCAGTGTGTCTTTTATTATGATACTTTTTAAAATTTAAACATCCACTCTACAGTTTGATCACCCTGTATGGTTCAGCTCATCGGCAAGGTATTCAGTATGCATTTGCAGCCTCAGAAATGGAGCAGACTTTACAGGAAAACGCTGAGCTGCCCCTGGACTTAGCTCTTGGGGCGTGGCCTTCCTCACTGCAGTGGGGGTGGTCACACCACACCTCCAGCGACCATATCGCCAGGGGCAAACTGCTGGTCAAGGCTGCCCAAAGTTCAGCACAGTTCTGCTTGTTCGCGTAGGCTCTTCTGTATTACTGTAGTGAAACAAGCTGATTTATTTCATGCACCCCTTCTCAGTGGTTTTTTTTTTTTTTTTTTCTCCAGTATGGGGAATCGAACTCACGACCTTGTGCTTGCCAGGCAGGCGCTATGCCGCTGAACTAAATCCCAGCCCCTCAGTGGCTTTTAATTATAACTACAAAATAAAATCTTAGCTTAGTAAAAAAAAAATGTGGAAATTTAGAATCCTACTTTGGATAACTTGGACCAAATCTAAGAAATTTATTGAAAGATGTTGTTAGGATCTCTGTAGTTTGAAAGTTATTTATTTAAAAAACCCAGAAATATAGCATATAGGTAAGTTCATTTTTACAGTTTCCTTAATTCTTTAAAAATGACGGGGAGGGGATTTAAATTGAAGAGGCACGGAAAGGGCAGCGAATACCACACAGACCAAAAGGACTCAAGGCCCTCGGTCTTTTCAAAGTAGCCACTAGGGGGCGATCGGAGACAGGCCTGAACTCTAGGTTAATGTCTTCAACCCAGACTGCTTTGCTGATTGAGGTCTGACGGCCACCTCTGAGTAGACACTACTTTATTCAAAGATTATTGCTGCATCTGTTTTTACTCTGCTGTGTTTGATACAGTGAAAGCATTCACCAGAGATAACCAAGTGTCTGTGTTCAGGAAGCGGAGAGACAGATTTTGCACCCCAACTTAAGAGCCTGAATAAGAAGCTCTTCACAGTGGTTGCCTGGGACCCTCGAGGATATGGACATTCCAGGCCCCCAGATCGAGATTTTCCACTGGACTTTTTTGAAAGAGATGCAAAAGATGCGGTGGACTTGATGAAGGTGGGTTTCTCTCAGAAGTGCGCAGGGGAAGGATAGCTGGGCAACTCTTCATTTATTTTGCTTAATTTTTGCTATTCTTTCTCTCTACGAAGGTAATACTGTGTGACTCCTATCACATAGGAGTGCAGTGAACATTCTGTTATTTGTGGACACTTCAGTTCTGATTTTTTTTTGCTGTTTCAAACAGTGTTATTGTTATGGACATACTGAGCCTATCTCCTGGTACATGTATGTGAGAACTTCATACAAAGTTAGGAAACAATGTGTTGGATTGTAGAAGATGAAACTATTCACTTAAAGGTAGTGCCGAACTATTACTCATAGTAGTTACACCAGTGTATAATCCCTGCAGCAAATACCCTGGACTAATATCTCTTAATTCTTTAATTTTTTTTCTTTTTTTTTTTTGGTCTTTTTGAGACAGGGTCTCGCTATGCAGCTCAGGCTGGCCTTGAGCTCACTTTGTAGCCCAGGCTGGTCTCAAACTTGCAATGATCCTCCTGCCTCAGCCTCCCGAGTGCTGGGATTACAGATGTGCGTGACCACGGCCGGCTAATTCTTTAACTTTTGCTATATTCTGTTCTAGGCAGCATCTCCCAGACGTCATCTTTGTCCGTTTTCTTTGCCAGACACATTTTCAGGTCCCAATGGATTTGCCCAGGGACTCACACAGCTGCCCTGTGTTACCTTCTCTTCCAACCCATCTCTTCCCTCAGCTGCGCTCTTTCCGCAGCTGGCTTTACCTGATGGCTGAGTTCATTTCAGCAGCAAGTGTGCGGTCCCTGTCTAAGCCACACTGTGCTCTCACAGCCCTGTTGAAGCATGTGCACGCATACAGGTGTGGGCACACTGTATTTGTCACGTCCAAGTACAGGTAATCGCCACTGATCTATGCCTTGACATCTCACCCAAGCAGAAGATGCAGTTCCCTCACCATTCAACCAGTTCTGTGTACTTGAGTTCCCACAACAATTATGTTTGTACCAAAGCTAAGTAAGAGGGAGCGCTGTGCTGCCTTGTCAAATGGTACAATGATCGGAACTTTTCTTTCTTTTTTTAAATTTCATTTTAAAGAGAAAAGAACAAAAAGAAGATAACCAAAACAAAGACAGAAACAAAAACAAAACACCACCAAAACAGTACAGAATTTGAAAACAAGATGATAGGAAATTAACAATGATTGTTGTATTACTTATTGTTATCTTCAAAGTAGTTGCTCAGATAACCAGATAGAGGCATACAAGATTGATCAAACAATTAAACATTAACTGTTCCTTTCAATAAACCAATAGAAATTAGTAGTACAATTATCTTAGCTACCTTGTGTATATATGTATTTTTTCCTCTTTCTTCTTTCTTTTTCTCCTTTCCCTCATCCTAGTTCTTTCCTTTTGAGCGATTTCTTTTCCTTCCACAATATCTATTGCACCTTTCAGATTTTATGTAGTCTTTCAGGTTCTTACTCTAGGGAGACAATATGATGTTTACACATGAGGGTCTGATTTATTTCACATACGAGTATGGTCTCTAGTTGCATCCATTTATCTATAAAAGCCTCAAGTTTACCTTTCTTTATAGCTGAGTAATACTCCAGTGTATAAAAATAACCACATCTTTTTTATCCATTCCTCAGTTGATGGGCATTTGGGTTGTTTCCAAGATTTAGCTATGACAAATTGTGCTGCTATAAATGTGGGTGCACGTATGTCACTGTGGTATGATGTTTTCAGTTCTTCTGAAAAAATACCGAGAAGGGGAATAGCTGAGTTCAATGGGACCTGTAATCCGAGTTTTTTGAGGAACTTTCACTCTGATTTCCACAGTGGTTGTACCAGTCTACACTCCTACCAGGGCTGGGGATTTAGCTCAGCGGCACAGCGCCTGCCTGGCAAGGGCAAGGTCATGAGTTCGATTCCCAGTACCGGAAAAAAAAACCAAACACAAACAAACAAAAAAAAATACACTCCTACCAACAGCGAAGAAGGATTCCTTTTTCCTTACAGCCTCACCAGCATTTGTTATTGGTTGATTTCTAGATGACGGCCATTCTTTCTGGGGTGAGATGGAATCTCAGTGTTGTTTTAATTTGCATTTGTCAAATGACTAATGATGTTGAACATTTTTTCATATACTTATTTGCCATTTGTATTTCTTCATCTGAGAAGTGTGAATTCATCTCAGATGCCCATTTTTGGATTGGGTCTTTGAATTTTGGGGACCTGATTTTTTTTTTTTTTTAGTTCTTTATATGTTCTAGATAGAAGTCCTTTGCCTGAGGGATAGCTGTCTAAAATTTTTGCCCAATTCATGGGTTTTCTTTTTATTCTGTTGGTGATTGCTTTTGATGTACAAAAACTTTTCAATATGATGAGATCCCAGTTGTTGATTCTTTGAAGTATGTCCCATGCAGTTTGGTTTTTGTTCATGAACTCTCTGCCTACCCCTGTCTTCAAGATTTCTAACCACTTTCTTCTCCAGCAGATTTAGTGTTTCTGTTTCAGTATTTAGATCTTTGATCCATTTGACTTGAGTTAAGTGCATGGTGAGAGACATGGGAGACTTTTCTTTTATTACTGGTGAGGCCCCAGGCCTGCATTGGTTCTGATCCTTGCTGACTGTCAGGCTAACAGAGAAGAGCAGTATAACTGCTGTGTGTTTCGCTGTGTCCGTCACAGGCGCTGCAGTTTAAGAAGGTCTCCCTGCTGGGGTGGAGTGACGGCGGCATCACCGCCCTCATCGCTGCCGCCAAGTACCCATCCTACATCAGCAAGATGGTGATTTGGGGAGCAAACGCCTATGTCACTGAGGAGGATGAAAGGATCTATCAGGGTAGGTTCTGCTGCCCGGAGGTGGCGTGAGGTCAGATGCTTCTCTCTCCCTCACCCCTTTTATTTTGATACGTATTGACAAGTCGTGGCTCATCCCATCCACTTCCAGTTCTTGACAGTGAGGTCGGAAGAATAGTGAGTTCTCAGACAAGCCCTTCAGTTTAACCAGTCTTTCTATTTCTGGAAGCAAAACTTCTGTGACTCAGGAAAAGGCTAAGGAAAGGCGGTGTCCCCGTTCACCACCACCGTTAGCGCATCTGAAGGAAGGGGCATGGCGGTGTTCCTCATACCCTCACTTAAAGTGAGTGTAAAAGTGACTCAAATATGAAAGCCTACATCTTGATTGCACGGATTTTTGTGCTGTTTGCATTTCTAGGTGGCCCCTCAGGCTTCTTTGGCGGGGTTATTGGCACTCGAGCAGGGGCCGGCAGCGTGCAGCCTGTGGGTCACCTGCTTCTGTAAGGTCTGCGTGGAAATCAGAGAAGCACCTTCTGTGGGCCGTGGAGACGAAGCTGGGGCGGCCACCGCACCGCTTCCCACTCCACTTCCACTCTCAGGGCTGCTGCCCACAGCCTGCACGATGGCTACACGCACGGGAACTATCGGGAATTACTGGGCACCCAGCCACGGAAACAAGCCACGGAAACGTTCCACCTCCAGCTAGCGGCCCAAAGTAGGGTGACCAGGCTCTTGGGCAGAAATGGGCTACGCCAGCGGTTTGCCCCAGGGGTTCCTGGGGTGCAAGGAGCAGCTGACCAGGGGCGTCTCACCACCTCCCCCTGCCAGCCCCTCCCCTTCAGGCTGGCAGCATTTGGTCCAGAGTGTGCTTGCGGCAGACCTCAGACAGCCTGCCCCAGTGGGGAGCTCAAGTTGGGGCAGGCATTTTCTCCCCTCACACGGAAGTGTCTGTACGAGGCCTGAAATGTCACTCTCTATACAAAAAAGTTTGCAGAGCCCCGAAGAGGCTCTCACAAGCCTCGCCTTTTTCACTGCTCTGCAATTCAGAGACCTTTGAAAGCTGCTCAGGCAATGTCCTGTAAGGATATGGGGAGCTCCGAAGGGGCGAGTCTGGCCTGCCAGCCCGTCCTGCTGTGCTCCTGCTGGGCTGTGCGCGTGCGGGCTCAGCGTGGGCCTCCTGCAGGAGGCTGGCACAGACGCCTCTCCTGTGTCACCCACCCGCCCACTCACGCCGTCAGCCGGAAAGGTAGGCTCGGCTCCTGCCCCCGGGCATCGCCCCTCTTCCTGTGGCTGCTACCTTACCTCTCCCTCCTGCCCTCGCTGTTCTCATTGTTCTGATCATTAGTACCTTTTTTCCTTCTGCCTCCTTGGGTTTCAGTTTGATTTTTCTTTTCCTAGTCTCAAAATAGAAGCATAGGTTACTGATTTGAGACTTTTCTCTTCTACTATAAGCATTTAATGCTATAAATTTTATTCTAAGTACTGCTGCATCTAAACTCCCTAGAAGTAGGATACGTTATATTTTAATTTAGATCAGAACATTTTCTAACATCCCTTCAGACTTTCTCTTTCACCCATAGTTTTTTAGAAGTATATTACCTAATTTCCAAATACTTGGGATTTCCCAGGTATCTTAGTGCTATTGGTATCTAGTGTAATTCCATTCTATTCAGAAAGCATTTGCTGTGAATTCAGTTCTTGGAAGTTTGTAGGCTTCTTTTGTGCGCCAGAGTGTGGCCTGCCTTGATCTAAAACTGAATTGTTCAGTTCATGACCTCCCCTGACCTCCGCCTGCTCACTTATTGTCCCACAGTCCACCTGGGCGTGAGAGCCAGAGCCCGAGTCAGGTCTTGGGGGCTCGGTCCCCGTGTCCCCTCTGCACTGCACACTGACTGCATTCTGCTGATACCGTACTCATGACCCCTCTCTTCTCTTTACCACCCTGCTTTTCCTTCCCCCTAGTCTCTGGGGTCAAGTCCTTTCCTCTTAGAGTTGTTTGTCCTCATAGGAGAGAATCTTCTATAAGGCAGTAAATTAAGCTTTATCATAGCATGAATGTACTGGAAAAAGCAGACCGTCTGTATGGATTGGGTTAGTGCTGCCTGCAGCTTCACGCGCCCAGGGGCATCTTGCACACATCTGCCGTGGATAAGGGCCACTGTGCGGCAGTTGCTATGTAAGTCCTCCCTGGACCGCGAGGACCTTGAAGGCAAAGACCTTGTCTTCGGGAAGTTGTCAGTGGTAACCAGTGCACAGCGGGCTTTAAACGGGGCTGGCTTGGTGCATTCCCGAGCTAATGATGAGCAGGCAGGTTTTCTACATTGCAGTTCCAGTGCTCAAAAAAAGAAATACATGATTCTTTTGGGACCCAAATTAGTTCTGTTTTGGATCAGCAAACAGTTTGATTCAAATGATTATTTTGAGAACTCCACCATGAAGCATAATTACCACCTAATTTTTGGGAGTCATTATGCTTTGGGGCAAAACTGGCTTCTTGAAATAAATGAGCCGAAGTAAATATATGAATACAAAGAATATTTTTGAGTGCGTGTTATATGCCAGGCACTGTTGATACCACATTTTATGCATTAACTTATTTACTTTTTACTCCGGAATATTATTAGAATCCTTGTTTTTCAGATGAGGCTGCCATAGCATGTTTACTCTGTAGAGAGGTTGGGGCAGTGGCTCCGTGTCGCAGAGCAAGTAAGTGCAGGAGCTGGGCTCACACCCAACCAGGACCTTGACTGCGGTGCCTGATGTGCATATCTGGCTCCCCGCAGCTGCACCTGCATTTCCTGCCTCTGCAGACTCAGATACTACTTCCTGTGGGAGTCTGAAGGCTTGCCGTGGACTTGACATTCCCTTAGGTGACCTCTCCCTATGCCTGCTTTTACTAAGTGAATTCATTACAAGGATCTTTTGCTACCCCACTATGATAACTTTATATTTCAGCAAGAAAAATGTCTTTGTGTTGAGCTTTGGCCACCTGGTTCTTAAAGGGTTTGGACCTTTGTGTCACAAGGAACTTCGTTTTTCCTAGTTGGTTTTTTACTATATCATGTTTGGTAGGTACAAGTCAAACCATGCAACATATGTGATTCAGGACATCCTTGAACCCAGCCTGGAGTGTGTGATCGATCGCTGCTAATACCCTTGTTGTTTCTATGTGCTTTCTCCCAGTTCACCCCCAGCCTCCTCCTGAGCCTTGTGAATCCACTCCATGCCTTTGAGAAAACAGTCCTCCCACATACTCATATTCCTGAAGAGCACATAGTTCAGTTTTTCTTCAAGCTTTACAGTGGCCTCATACTGTAAACCGTCTTCCTGACTTGCCTTTCTCCACCCTGTGCATCTCTGGGATTCACTTGCGATACTGCTCGTAGTTGCCGGGCACTTGCTTTCGTTGCTGTGTTGTATTCCGGGGACACTCTTGAGCTTGGTCTCTTGCCAGCGGGCAGCTGTTTCATCTCCAGTGTTGCCATGAAGCTCCCCCTACTGACTCCAGGGAGAGCCCGCAGGTGAAACTGTGGAGTGTCACGTGCTCAGCACGGCATAACAGGTGGCGAACTGTCACTCATAATCTGAAAACAAACATAAAACCGAGCCTGAGCAGAGAATATCCACATTTGCTCCTCCCCGCTGGTGGCTGCCTTCCCCCCGGAGCAGCCCTGGGAGTCCAGTCCCAGACATACCAGACTTATTCAGTACTTACGTCGTTTCCATTCACCACTTCATCTCCATCCAGGCATCGGGATTAGGTATCCTGAAAGATCTAGTTTTTCCAATACAAGAGGACTTTCCTCGGAGTGTGGCTGCCAGAAGCAGCTTTATGATTGGAGGAGGGAGATATTGGAAGTCCGACCCAGGATCTTGGACACACACACCATCTATCACTAAACAACCCCACCAGCTTCTCTACTGGAAAATTTTTATGGAGTTCTTTACATCGTCTTGCCGGCTTCTCTCTCCTTTTCCTACTCCAACTTTCCTTTTTCTTACTGTCAAGCCTCCCCAGCGTCTTGATTTCCTGGCTGCTTCGCCACACCCATCTCCGCAGTCTTAGGCCATTGTGCTGGGCAGCTCAGCTCTTCCTGGCCCTGCAGTGAGCTCACTGCTGCTTACCTCTGAATGCTGAAACCAGTCCACAGAAGCAAGGGCAGCTCCCTTCTATTACAGGACCCACCCTGTTCAGATGCAGTTGTGCAAACAGCGCTTTTCCCTGTTTAGTTATGTCCATTCAGTAAGTGCATATGGAGTTCTGCCACGTGCCCACACCATCAAGACCCTATGTGGATTATTCTTTTTTTTTTTTTTTTTGTCTTTTGGGGACAGGGTCTCGCTATGCAGTTCAGGGTAGCCTTGAGTTCACTTTGTAGCCCAGGCTGATCTTGAACTTGCAACAGTCCTCCTGCCTCAGCCTCCCAAGTGCTGGGATTACAGACATGTGCTACCACGCCTGGCTTATGTGGATTATTGTTTGATGTGAGTTCATAGTGTCAGTGTCATCTGACCTCCAGGTGTGTCCTTTAGCGGAAGCACTGAAAGCTCTCAGTAAGCAATATTTAATAAGCTCAAGAGCACTAGGACCTTCTATATTCCTGTAAAGAAATGCAGAAAAGATTGAGCTGAGTAATTGTTGGGAGCGGCTGAAGCTGGACAGTAATTACCGTGCAGGACGAAGCCAGCCTGAGAACACGGGAGCTCCTCGGAGCAGATGAACGAGGCTTTGTATCTTGTTAACGGATTGCTGGGCAGCGAGGCTGAAATTAATTAACCTCTCGAGGGTATAAAATAAACGCTTTACTGTTCTTTGGCAGTTCCCCTTCTCTGTCAGGAGAGAGAGGCCCTCCACCTGATTCCAGCTTTTTGTCTTGTATCTATTTTTCCCTCATTCTCGCCACCATTCCTCTGGGGTACAGCAAGAACCCAACGGATCCTTAGAAGTAATTAACCTTTGTGGATGCATTTGAAAGGTAGTTTTAAACTATTACTTCTTCAGTAGCAGAACTCATAATTTTATGTGTAATTTGCCTATGTTTCTCAGTGTACCAGAAAAAAACTCCTTTGTGAATATGCTGGCCCTCCATATCTATACCAGTGAGTTCTGCATCCATGGATTCAAGCAGCCATGGTTGAAAATATTTGAAAGAAAATTAAGCCTATCCTGAATATGTAGGCTTCTTTCTTGCCATTGTTCCCCAATCAGCACAGCATCCCAACCACTTCCATAGCATTTAAATTGTGGTAGGTATCGTAAGTGATCTGGTGATGATTCAGATCTGCGGAGGGTGCCTGCAGGTTCTATGCAAGTAGTATGTCATTTTATAGAAGGGATTTGAACATCACAGAGTTTAGAATCCACAGGAGGCGCCAGGAACCAATTCCTCCAGATACCAACGGGTTACATAATGCTTCTCTCACTCGGGTGACCTTACTTAGAGGAATATTTTCTTTTATACCTTTAGCATGCAGCACTCAGGCAGGTCTGGCTTCACCCACTTGATAAGTATTTACTGTGGGTCTATTTTGTGGGGTGCAGAGGCCTGGGCCCCAGGTGTGCAGCACCAGGGCACACGCCCTAAGGGGAAAGCAGACATGGTCACAAATGCAGGAAACCCGACAAAGCAGAGTGAGTGCTAGGCAGAGGAGGTGGAGAGAAGGGATCAGGAGATGGGTGGGGAGGCTCAGCGACATCCACACGAGACGCAGACCCAGGGAAAGTCTTCCCAGCAGGTGGAACTGCTGTGAGGCTTGAGGTGATTGGAGCTTGGGGTCGGGAAAGATACTACCTTCGTATAAGACAAAAGCAACTCAGTCCACATTTTCGTTTTTCAGGTATCCGAGATGTTTCTAAATGGAGTGAGAAGGCAAGGAAGCCTCTGGAAGCCCTGTATGGATATGACTACTTTGCCAAAACCTGTGAAAAGTGGGTGGATGGCATACGACAGTTTAAACATCTCCCAGATGGTAGGTTGCATGGACGATCTAATGATTCCTTTGCTGATTAGAGAGGATGCTGGAGGCCTCCTTGATGTTCCAGCATTCCTCAGTAGCTAATGAATCTACCCATTATCCTTGCACAGTGACGTGTGAACAGAGAACTTAGTTATTGTGCACAATATGAGTTCTTGTATAATACTGTGCCTTAAACTCCACACAGGACTGGTGTATAAAGGTTCATATTGTTGAGCCTTTACAAGTAGACTATTCTTTTTTCCTTCAGTCCTTTGTGTGTGTGATGACAAAATAATTCTTCAGAAGCCTCAGTTTCTATTTTCTAATTCCAGAATGGGTAATTAGAAAATAAACCAGCTGCAGTGTGGACAATATTTTTTCCTTTTTGCCTTGTTTAGATGTCATCCTACTACACATCTGTTACTAGGACACAAAGATGAAGTTTCATGATCTTCAGCCCCAGAATAAATTGTATCAGGAACAGAGTTTTAGTTCTTTTCCCATCTTCAGAATTAAATTATATGACTTTACTCTCTTTTTATTTGAAAACTAGCAAGATTTTATGAACAGAAGAATTGGTATCTTTAAGAAGAATTTTGAGTTAAAGTGTATTTCGATATAGCTATGTGTTTGTCAGCTTTATGTTACTATTACGAATACTTGAGATAATCAGGATGATCATCTGAGATGATTAATACAAGTGCTTTAGCTGGCTCACAGTTTTGGAGGCTTCAGTCCACAGTTAGTTGTCTGTCGTTTTGGGGCCTGTGGCAAAGCAGCGAGCTATGGTGGGAGCAAGCGGCATAGCAAAGTCAGGAAGCAGAAAAAAGAAGGATAGCCTGGTATCCTGTTGCCTTCCTTGAAGCCATGCCCCTAGAGACCTGAAGACCTCCCCCAAGGTCCCACCTCTTAAAGGTTCCATGGCCTCCCAACTATACCACTCCAGAGAGCAAGCCTTCTGCACATGGATCTCTGAAAGACACCCAAGACTCAAACCATTGCAAGCTTAGGCTCTCTTTTCCTTTTTTTATTTTTATGTTTTTACTTGCTTTGTTTAGAAAAAATAGAGTAGCTAACATCTAATCGTGGATTACATTCAATTACAAAATGCCTGTAACCAAAGGACCAGTTTGATCTATTAGGCAATCATTTCCAGTATGAATCATGTGTCATCAAAACTTTCACGATGGAAAGGGCCCTTGGAAATGTTATATTTCTGGTTTAAATTGAAAACAGCAAATATATTCCTTATATTGATCCCGTTCAAATACAGTATCTCCCCATAGAAACAGGTCCTTGAAATGTGTTTCCTTCTGTGCTTAAAAAATACCATGAAACAATGTCTGAAACAGTCTTCCATTAATGACTTTATATTATGAAATGTAAACTTTTATGCTTTATTGAAAAGGGCAGGGTGACAGTAAATCCAAAATCCAACTTACAGCTGGGGATTTAGCTCAGTGGCACAGCATCTGCCTGGCAAGTTGGAGGTTCTGAGTTCAATTCCCGGTACCAAAAAAAAAAGCAGTCACCAAAAACCAACATAGAGTTAAATCAGCAATTGAAAAATGTGTCACGATATAGAAGGTCTAGCAGTGTAGAGATCACATCATAGTGAGACCATTAATAAATTATCTCCCTTCTGTGCTATTTGACAGGAGCCCTTTTTCCCATAATTGCACATTCAAGGTAAACTACAGATGTGTCGTTCAGCACAAGGATTAATGATACAGCTTTGGAGCCAGACAGGTCTGGGTTTGAATTCTGGCTTCCTGACTTTGCTGTGCTGGGTTTGAATTCTGGCTTGGTGTTAGAATGGATGTGGCCAAGTGACTTCATTCCTCTAAGCTTCAATTTCCTGCCTGAGACCTCATAATTTTGTGAAGATTAGGTGAGATAATACAGGTTCAGCTGTGATGCGCTGCTGCAAACAGTGTATCACGAAAGGTTATTATGAAAGTACTCAATTGACGAGTGACGGTGGGTACTGAGTGGGTTAAAACCTGTAACTGCGTTGTTTAACAAGTGCATAGGGATTTGGACGTCTCTTGGCACAGTATGCACTCGGTAGTACTGGCTTTCATCATCACCACCTGACGACACAGTCGGGCGTGTGCCATCCAGGGGAGGGAGAGCGAGAGGCCTTGGAGCCTGAGGAAGTCGTTTGCTAGTCATCTCTCCTGGGTGAACGGCCACCACCAGCTGAAGAGGCAGCCAGAGCCCAGTGCCCAATGAGCAGCGCGGCGTTGGCTGGCTCCGTGCTTGCCCTGTCCTTCTGACACCGCCGGGGAAGGCAGGGAGGAGGAAGGGCGGCCAGTTTCATGGACATGCAGAACCTTCTATGTGGCTCTCTTGTAGCCTCACAACAACCCCAGGGCACAGTGGTCATTCCTAGTTGAGGCTGAGGCCCAAAGTCTTTAAGGAGCCACCAAGATCTCAGCGGCAGGAGATGGCAGGACAGGAGCTAGAGCCCAGGTTGTCTGGAAGTGCCTCAGAAGTGTTCTTCTCCGTGGGGACCTGATCATCGCAGTCTCTCCAAGGGGTGGCAGTCGGAGGGTCGCCGAGACACTAACGGTGACGGACACTACCTTCATTGCCAGCTCCACACGCTCTGAGACGTGACCGCAAGCAAAAATCTTCCCCGGTGTCAGGCTAACTGCGCTGCCCACGGCTGAATGCACCTCCCCTGTGTAATATAAGGGAGTTGGGTTTTCCTTTGTGTGATTTTCCTATAACTTTACATGAATTACGAGTTTAAATCTGTTTTACTAGTAGAATTTTAAAACAAAGATTTAAAAGGGAAACCCCAAAGATGTTAGAGCTGGAGGGAACCCCAGATCCAAACCTGTTTGCACAGACAGGGAGCTTGCGATCCCAAGAGGGGCACTTGCTTCCCGTGACTGTGTACACAAGGAAATTCTCTCTCAAGAGAAAGGTGCGTTCGGGCTCACAGTTCTGAAGGTTTGGTTCCCTGACAGTGGCCCCACTGCGCTGGTGCCCTGATGAGGCTGCACACCATGGTAGGGGCACGCAGCAGAACAAGACCACTTCTGCCGTAAACCAGGAAGCAGAGAGGAGAGGACCGGTTGGAGTCCCATGGACATCCCGCAAGGCCTTGCCCCAGGTGCTACCACTTCTAACGCCCCTCTGGGGGGTCCAAGCCTTAACCCAGAGGCCTCTGGGGAGCATTCAGGGTCCAGACTGTAGTGGCATGGCTCTGAGCTGTATCCCTTTCCCCCCTCAAGGAACAACCACAGTAGGCAAATGCGTTGTGCTGTTTGTTTTTCAGGTAACATCTGTCGGCACCTGCTGCCCCTGGTTCAGTGCCCCACGCTAATTGTGCATGGGGAGAAGGATCCTCTGGTCCCACGTTTCCATGCTGACTTCATACACCAGCACGTGAGAGGGTCGAGGTGAGTGTGATCAGCGTGTCTCCACCCCTGCCCCTAAGGGCCTGTGTCGGCACATGGTGTCTCTGCCATTTAGGGCACAGTAGGGACCGGGACAGGAGCCCCGATTGGCGGAAAAGCAATAATTGGAAGGAAAGGGCTCCTCTGATTGGTGTCCTTTTTTGTTGTGAAGGGCAAATGTGTGACTAGGAACCAAGTTGTACAACACGGCAACAGTGTAGATTTATGTTCGTCCTGGTTGACCAAAACAATTTCCTGTAATTTGAGAACTTTTAGTTTAGGTTTTTTTTTTTTTTTTTTGTAATCATGAAAGTACTTTCTACCCATTAAATAAATTTGTAACACCCAAAAAGAAAACAATTGTGCTTTGCCTGCTACCATTTAAATACTATCATTATTAGCAGTTTTCAACATAGACATAATCATATGCTATATTCAACTCTAAATCCTGCTTCTTTTCCCACTTTAAATTATATTGTAAACCTTTCGTGCTTTGTTGGCCTTAAACGTGTGTGCACCAACGTGAGGAATGTTACCAAGCATCACCACGTCCCTGCGACGGCCGTCTTGGTGGCTCACCTGATGGAATGGCAGTGCCCTGTCTCTTGAGTCTTCCTGTCCGTATTTCTGCTGACCAATTTTGGACGCCAGAGAGCCTTAGAAGATATGTCAGCAGAACTTCTGTTACTCAATCCCATCAATTATTATATGAACTAGAAATGTATGTTTTAATTTATTTTGGCTCCCACAGGAGCCAGCTTTTGCTGGTACTTTTATCCAGACAGAAATTTGGCACTGAATAAAGACCTTGTTTCCATCATACATAGTAGATGTACACCCTAGTGACACTGAGGTGCTACAGGGAGATTAGTGGCCTAATTTCTGTTTTTAAGCAAATCTGTTAGAAAATTAACATCCAGATGAGCCTTGACCTTTCAGAGACTGCTCAGAATTATTCTTTGGATTCTGTGGAACTCTTTTGCAATTAGACTTAAGGACCTAAAAAAACCCTTCCTCCTTCCTTCACCTCTGTGTGTCTGTTCCTAGTGCCTGCTGGGACAGCAGCGCCGCAAGGTTGGCAGTGGTCCCTGCACTCCGTGTCCACAGCCAGCAGGGGAAGAGGGCGGAACCTTTTACCGCCTCCTCCTGGGGCTCTTCTACTCCTAACTGTAGATTTCTCTAAGAATTTTTAAATGTGGGGGAATGTTTCTTATTGTACACTAAAATACAGTCATTGTAAACTTTTATACTTCCTCTATGGCAATCTTTATAATAAAAGCCATCTAGGGGCTGGGGATTTAGCTCAGCGGCAAAAGCGCCTGCCTGGCATGCGCAAGGTCGTGAGTTCGGTTCCCGGTACTGGAGAAAAACCAAAAAAAAAAAAAATAATAATAATAAAAATAATAAAAGCTATCTCTTTATTCCACATATTTCCTCCTGTATAAGTTTAAGCATGAATCAAAAAAAGTGAGCATCTATAATGAGTAACCCATATTCTGTTTGAATATAGAGTAAGTAAAGATAGAATTTAGATTAATATTATATTGTGGGTGAAGATACAGATTTAGTAGAAAAGTGTACACACTGACTTAGTAGGCACTAAGGCAATTTCCCAAGTAGACTTTTACAAAATTATAATACTAAGTCATAGATGTGGTACTGAGTTCATACTCTTATGAAGCCTTCCTAGAGTTTTCCATATACTCTTAGTCTTTGTGTTTTATTTTGATTTTGTATATTTACAATGTACAATTTCATGTTTCCGTATAGAATTTTATGTTTTATATATAGTATCTCATTATACTTCACAACAAACTTATGGAAAAAAATATCCATTTTACAGATGAGGCGTCAAGACTAAACCATGTTAAGCAATTTTTCAAGATTGCATAGTTAGTAAATAACAAATCCTGCATTTTTCCTCCTAATACAGTGCTTTTCCATGGTAGCACGGCTGTCCCTCGTAAATGCACTTTCGATACGATGCTGAGATTTCTCAAATGACATATTAAGTGGCTTGGTTAATTGACTTGCAGCTTCAGAAATGACAGGGTTTTGCACACTAACATGCATATTAAGTGGGGTGTATTCTTTTCAAGAGCCAGGTTCAGTAAAAGTCAATCTGCAGTAGTTTAGTTTAGGAATTCTGTCCCAGACCCATCTCCTAGCAACAGAATATATCAATACGGGAGAAAAATACACTGTCCATACATATATTAATTGTCCCAGTAGACTGATTTATGGAAGATAATTTTCTTAGAGCAATATTCTTTGGAACAAGTGGATTGTAGGTAAAGTGTTTCTAATGATGCTTGTCTAAAACTGGCCTGTATTTTTCACTCCTACGGAGGGAGCCCTTTATGTTGGGCATGAGTTTCCCTAGAACACAATTGTTTTATGGGAGGACCCACAGAAGGAAGCTGAATCCCTTGGGAACCAAAATCCTCGTATGATTCTGTGCACTGCTAGGCTGGCTGACACACAAAGCCGCTCAGCACAGCAAGCTTCTGATGCACTTTGCCTTCCGTTGCTTTGCCAGGTGCATCTGTGGTTGAACTTGCAGGTGTTGTCTGTGCCTTCATAGATTTTTTTTAACTGAGAAATACATATTGTGTGTGAAGACGGCACCAAACTGCTTTTCCTTCCTCAGAGCAAGACTTGCATCCATGCTGTATTAATTTTTGTCTGCTTCCCTTTTCTTTTGCCTTTTGGGCAGGGAGTCATGAAGTCTCTTGGACACAAAGAAGCCTTACAGATCCCTCATTCTGTGGTTTTAAAAATGTGTGCTTAGGGGCTGGGGATTTAGCTCAGCGGCAAAAGCGCCTGCCTGGCAAGCGCAAGGTCGTGAGTTCAGTTCCTGGTACCGGAGAAAAACCAAAAAAAAAAAAAAAATGTTTCTTGGGCAGCTGAAAACCTGGAAGCTTTTGATCAGTCTTGCATACCTATATCTGGTAATCTGAGCAAGTACTTTGAAAATAACAATGACTAATACAAC